GTTCATTACAAGAACACTTAAAAATTTGACACGTACTCAGAGGTCATAATTACAATCTAAAAATAAAATATTTTGTACATTCTTTCCCAGCACACTACTTCTTCGCTGAAATTAATTGTCCAGATTTTGAAAATAGCCCCTTCTAATTATAAAATAATATCTTTGCTTTGCGACGCCGACAGTAATATCGTATCGAAACTTTTTAAAAATGTGTCACCTTTTGAGAAATTAGGTATGTTAAATTTCTCAAGATGGGAGAATGTTGAGTTAATAGATACTTAAGTAATATGTTTATTTTAAAAATCCCCTTGTAAATCAGCGTATGGAATCTCCGGCTAAGGGCAGTTTCCTTCGGTCGGTGGTATAAATTCGACTAAAACTAACTCTAAACAAATTGAATATATTCTTAAGGCCGTATGACACTATACATTTTCTTGTATCATTTCTTATATCGTTTCTGATATAGAAAGCTATTTATGTTTTCTTGTATCGTTTCTTGCACATACATTTTTGCCCTGTATGACACTATGCAAGTTCTTTTACCAGAAATTGTATGTGATTTGGCACATGATTGGTCGAAATTTTCACACCTATAAAAATAGAACTGCAGTACCTGAGCCTGAGGACACAGTTCAACCACAAATGAGGATCCCAAGCTACTGGGGACTGAGGACAAATGCTGTTGATTATTTTTTGTATAAAAAAATACTGTGTGGTGCAAAATGAAAGAAATAAAATGTCCCAATATTAAAACTAAATTGGAAACCACAAGTTTTGAAGATATTCAACAGGCTGTAATGGAAGACAGAAATAATAAATAATTTGGTTGTAATAATTTATTTGTTTTTTTTTTTAAATTATGTATTATTTGAATGGCATGCTCTTGAAATTCTACTCTCTTATTTGGAGATATAAAATAGTCTTTAAACTCATCACTAATTTTTAAAACGGTTATGTAGGTATTGTTTTTAGTAAAACATCTCCTACTTTCAGTAGTTCCGATGCTATTTGATCCAATCCCTGTGATTTATTGTTTTTCAATTTGGCTACTGATGTTCTAATCTTGGTTATTGTTGGTAGGCACTTTTCTCTGATGTCTGCTTGGTCTAATTGTATATCTCCTCCAGCCACCACTATGACAGAAGACAGAATTTTTACGTTTTTGCGGCTTTGCGCACAAATTGGCGCATTTCTTGTACAAGAAAATGCAGCGGACACAAATTCTTGTATCGTTTCTGATATAAGATATAAGAAACTATACGCTTGTATGACACTATCCATTTTTTTGTTATATCAGAAACGATATAAGAAGTGATACAAGAAAATGCATAGTGTCATACGGCCTTTATACTATATGAAATTCAATACCCTACATTCTCAGACGAAAGTCATTAAAATTTTAAGTGCATTCACCAGCCCTTAGCCGGAGATTCGATACGCTGATTTACAAGGGGATTTTTAAAATAAACATATTACTTAAGTACCTATTAACTCGACATTCTCCCACCTTGAGAAATTTAACATAATTTCTCAAAAAATACAGAGAGTTACGAAAAACAAAGTCAAGAAAATATCACTTAAATCTTAAAGGAGTTTTCACCACCCGGCCACAACGCGCATATCTTCCATTTAAGTCGGGTACTCTGTATTTTATCACTCCCGCACTCTTTACACTTGGTTCTTCCTTAAAAGAATGGAGGTGGTTCCAGAGAGGTTACCTCAAGGGAACGTTTCTCGACTCCAGTTTGAGGAAGAACCAAGTGTAAAGAGTGCGGGAGTCATCCGCAGAAATCTTTTTCGCAGCAGATTCCAAAACCACAATTACCATTTGGATCGCCAACCTTCCAAAGGAGACGGCGCCATGAGAAGAAGATACATAAGATTATTTTATTTCAGATAATCGTTAAATAGCAGATCCGAGTAGCAAACCTGTGAGAATGAGTTCCAGATGACGTATAATAATGGCTATTGACCAGAAAAAAGCACATCGATAAATTGTTCAAGAAGCACCATCCCTGGAAGATTTAAGTTCGCCTGCAGCATCCCCAGAAAATCCTGTCCGACTGCTGCATCTGTGGAAAATTTAAGTCCCTCTCCAGCATCCCCGAGAAATCTTAGCCCACCTGCAACATCCACCGACAATTTAAGTCCAACTGCAGCATCACCGGAATATCTAAATCCGCCAGCAGCATCTCCGGAAAATCCACGTCCCTCTACTTCTGAACTACAGGGAAGATTTCAACATCTATCATCCTCAGAATCCTACTCGAGGATTCTGAAGAGTCCTATGGGCCTTTAGATGATCAAGATGTGATGAAAAATGCTCTCTCTGATAATAACAGTTCTGACGATTACTCTAGTGACAACAGTTTGGCAAGCGATGCAGCGCACAAGAAACAGTAAATCCTGTCAAATGGGGACCATTTACAGACTTACCTCTAAATTTTCAGTTCTTCAATTTAGATTTATCTCAACCATACGCTATCTACAAACAGTTTATTATTAATCCAATCATTGACATCATAGTAGAGGAAACTAACAGATACGCATATCAGATCATTCAATCGAAGCCACTGCGGCCACGGTCTCTGTTGAAAACTTAGACAGATACTAACAGAGCAGAAATGAAAAAAATTCTAGCTCTCTTGCTAATAATGGGTATTAACCAGCTACCAAAAATGCGCCTCTATTGGTCAAATGATGAAATGTACGCTAATAAGTGAATAAAAGAAATTATGAATCGCAACAGATTCGACCAGTAATTGAAATGCTTGCATTTTTGTAATAATAACGATCCACTAGCTGGTCAAGACAGACTCTCGAAAATAAAAGATGTAAATCTTATTTGTCAACAGTTTAACTAGACACTTGCTCCGATCAGAAAGTCGATTTGAAAAGAAAGCTTGATGAGTGCATGGTACCTTGGAGAGGCAGGTTGGTGTTCCGTCAATACTTACCAGCAAAAACACACAAATACGGAGTCAAAATCTATAAAATATGTACGACTGAAGGTTATACGTACGATTTGCATATTTATGCAGGAAAAAATGACGCCACTATAGCAACGAACACGCAGGTACACACATATAATATATGTATGGAGTTAATGCAGGATCTTAAACATTCGGGAAGAATTTTGTTTATAGATAACTTTTCTACAAGTGTCAAACTATGCGAGGACCTCTTAACCGAAGGAACATATGTCTGAGGCCCTTTAAGGAGTAATAGGAAGGGAATCCTAAAGATGTATGCGCTAAAAATCTGAAAAAGGGACATATTTACGGAGAAAAGAACGAAAATGGGGTTCGTGTCTTGAAATGGGTAGATAAGCCGCAAGTACTAATGATAAGTACTGTACCACATCACTCTGATCAACAGATTCCGAGTGGATGTAAAAACCGACAAGGTGGAGAAGTACTAAGACCCCCGCTAGGTATCATTGATTACAATCAGGCCAAAAAAGGAGTTGACATTTCAGATCTGATGTCTTCTTGTTACACATGCCTCCGAAAACTCTGAAGTGGTATAAGAAGGTGATTGCTATCCGATACAGAAGAAAATGCCACTGAAGAAATAAAAGTAGTGCATGATGATGTTCCGTGTAATAGGAGTCCGAGAAAACGAAGTAAAAGTAGCCATAGGTTAGGGAAATATGAAGGAAGTGCGAGAAAAAGCAGAAGATGTGCTTAAAGATAAGAAAGGTAGGAAAGTGGCATCGACAAAAGCAAGTAAGGTACTTACATTTTGCGAAGACTGCAATGGACAGCCGGCATTATGTATTCCGTGTTTTAAGAAAATCCACGAATAGTCTAAGTAATCTGTATCAATAATGTTAGTAGAACTATTTGTTATTTTTTGAGATTTGTTACCACAGCCACGATAAGATGTAATATTAAAATGTGTTTTATTGCCTAAACATTATGTTAACTACCTTCAATTAAAAATAAATTACGTTTTTGTAATATAAGTTTAGTCACTAGTATTTTTCCCTTTACTTATATCATTGTTTTTGGAGAGAAAAACAAGACATCCTAATGTTTAAGTTAGGTTTTTTAAATCATTTTGATACTTAAAATATACTTTTTTAGACTTAAAGTATTTTTAGTGCTTACACAATTCCTTTCCGAAAACCACCGTGAATCTACAAAGGTGTTGTGTCCGATGACTATTCTGTAGGCACGCTCTTCTTTAGGTTTGTAGGTATGGTGTATACGTCCATGGTGTACCTACTACATTTTTGTCCCTCATGTATTTTATTATTTTCCTATATGTGTCTAGTGTATCGCAATTATTTATCTTTACTGTATTGTCTACTAAGGATTTTGTGATTGTTTTGTGTATTGTCTGCTATTAGATCTATTTGTTTTATCATTTCATGCACAAATTAAAATGTTCTTGTATTTTAGGATTAGGCTTTTGCTCCTGTTTGAGCGATTCAATAACTAGTCCATTATCTCCTGGTGTTTTATTGGCTTTCATCTTTGCCCTTGCTTGATTTCACTAAGTGTTGTGTCTGGCGTGGGCTTAAAACCTGTCTAGCATGATTTAATGTATTTTGTTGTCTTTTTCTCTGTATTTGGGTTTCCCATCTATTACTGTATAGTTCTTGATATAAATCTCTCACTGTTCATAATAATTCAGTCCTACTGTTTCTTATTTGAGTCTTTCCATTTTTTAATTTCCTTTAAGCTTTTATTTGCCCCTATCGTTTGTTGGATTTTTTGTTATATTTTGTCAAATCTTTTCAATTTGCAGCCACTTAAGCCGAATTTGAAGTTTCAAATGTACATATTCTCTGTCTTCATTTGTATTCAAGTTGTATCAGCTGGACTAGCTAATGGAATAGAATTTTCAATAATTCAATTATTAATTAATAACTGGTAATTCATGTATAAGAAGATATTTTATATAATTTATTTATTTCTTATTTGTACACATATTTTCTAAAATAAATACATAGTTTTGGTTAAACACTGAATTTATATATGTAATAATGTGTTGTTTTTGTACCCGTTACCTGTCTCTTCAGATTACATTGTAAGAGTTATTTTTTTGTGGATTTAGATGTATTTTTGTTGCACATTTTAATGAAGTAATACAATTGGAATATGTTTTTGGAGAATTATGATACTGAGGTGAATACTTTAGAAAGGAAATAGCAGACATGATCTTTTGGCAAAAGCTGTTATTATATTATCATTTGGGACCTGCATTTGTAGTAGTCTTTTATAAACTATAATTTTATAATAGCTAAACTCACAATTATAATATAATTAATATATATTTACTACAACTGACCTACTACTTGAAAATACAGTTATAATATATAATTTTTTAAAATTAATATAAACACTAATCATAGTCATATAAATCAGGACTGAAAAAATTCCTATATATTTTCATTATGCTATTTTTATACTGAACTATTAAAATTAGAATATCATAAATAAAACCAAGCTCTTAAAAGAAGAGACAACATAATGTGGAGAGGGACTTTGAGTAAAAAGTAATGGCAATAGGGAAGTATCACTTAAATTTGTTCCACAAGAAATATCTAGGGTAAACTCACATAAGAATAGGGACAGATAAATTTGTTTTATTCTCAACATTAAATCTGAACTTATATTAACAATTGCATCTTTCCATATTTATCAGTACATTCATGTTTAAATAATAAAAACATTTGTCAGTCAAAATGTATAATATATACATAAATAATAATGTAAAAATTCTAACATTGGCAAAAGTATAGAGAAAGTGCTGGTGAAGTTAGCTTTAGCTACAAATGAGGAAAAGTTTTGCATTTGGCAGTGTTGCCATGTCATTTTAATAAATCACCAAAGAGCATGCCATATAATGTTAATTAATTTTACTAAACATTATTTTTAAGTTTTTAAAAGAAGTTTTATTAATTTATTATAATTTAAAAAAACTTTAATTTTTTAAGCTTTTAAATTCTTAGTTTTTAAATTATTCTGGTACCATTTAAAGTATTCAGGTATACAAAATTATAAGAAAATAGTCATAAAATGGAAATCTGCTGAACATCTGTTGCAATCTGACAACTAGTGTTTTGAAAGTTTTAACAGTATTGCCAAGTTTATTTGATAATCTACCACAGCCCAATTATATTTTTTTTCTAATAACTAACTGCAACTAATATCAATAGAAACAAGTATTCATTGGTTCGTGATTTATGTAAATTTAAAAAATACCCAATTCCTTAAAATAATATAATAAAAATGTACTGTTTCAAAGCATATTTGAGGCATAAACCATATACATAATAAGGACATGGCAATACCGCAAACGCAAATTTGATGTTTCATTTGCAGCTAACTTCACTGGCACTTTCTCTATACTTTTGCCCTAACATTATATTAAAGATTTTCAGTATTAAGTTTCCATACTTTCTTTTTTATTTTTTTTATTCTGCTGCCATTTTTGTTTTCTAAACTTTTCCCTATTCTCAATAAAATGCTCCAAATTGATGTAACCCGTCGGCATTTTTTGCTGATATATTTCAGGAATATCTATACCAAGTTTTTCAGGTAACATAAATGAATGAAGCCAAGTTGCTAGAGGGGTGTCTCCAAAAGTGTATTCAGATTCTTTGTGGTAAAAAACCACTCCATCGTATAGGACTTCTTTATCTTGTATTTTCAATACATCAAACATTTTTTCTTGAATTAAACTTCTTTCAGCAGGGAAATTATCCATCAAAATAAATTTATATCTTGAGCGTTCACAATCAGACATTTCTGGCATTTCTTGAAACTTGGCTGCCAGCCAGAAAAACCTAAATGTAGCTTCACTAGGTACTGTAAATAGAGAATTCCAATATAGACAATCTAATATAAAGATTGTTCTAGTTTGTTTATTATAAATACAATCTAAGATTGTAGTCCCACGTGAATTGTAGTTTCCTCCACCAGGAAACTTTGTTTTTGTTTTGAAAACCAATTTACCTTTCCCATTATAAAATCTTGTGATATGACGTGCACTAATAAGTAGTACACGAAGACCTTCGGGACAAAATTTGACAATCCAATCTTCTTCTAAATCATCTGGAATATCAAGAAACCACTCAGTTAACATAAGTTTAAACTTTATAGATCTTCTCCGTTTTTTTCCACTTTCAATCTCCATATCTTCACATCGGGTTTCCTCAATACCACTTTCATTCATACTATTTTCACTATCAATTTCTTTAGTTGCATCACATATTTGTGTATTTTCTTCTACACTTTCATCCATACTACTTTCAACATTAATTTCTGAAAGAAATGTTTCACATAGTTGTCTATTTTCGTCTGCACATTTAGATCTTTTTTCTTTTAGTTCTGCAAGAAATTTTATTCTTCTTTCATGCTGTGACTGTTTCCTCTCTTTACATTTATACAAATGGGCATGAGGATTATCAGACAATTTATTCGGTGAAGAGTTCATTTTTAATAAAAGTTAGTCTTGAGATCGATTAGTTACAGTTTAGATATTTAGCAACTCAAGTACAGTTTCAACTGTTCTCAAATAACACTAATCCTTTACCTTACTTATTAAATGTACTGTTCACATATAAATTAAAGCTATTGTACGAAAAAGTTTCCCTGAGGTAGTTTGGACTTGGACCTAGCTTAACTGAGATCAAATATCAAATAAGATAAAATCATTAAAATATAAAATAGTATTACAGTTTATTTATGATTAGGTTAGTTTACATACGAGCTGTCATATGTCATTAGGGTAGATAAATTCTTCAACTTACTTTTAACCTTTCAGTAATTAAGAATTCATCCAAAATATCTGACCACATTTTCTTTTATATCGCCTGCGGCAATTATTCTTTATGAAAGACAAATGAAATAATTTTAACCAGGATTATACATCGTAAAAATTTCTATAACCTTAAATAATCATTATCTGTTTAAATGTTAATATACTTTATACGTTTAATATTTTTTAGTAGATACTTTGTGTCAATTTGTAGTTCATATGTAAGATTGCAGATGCAAACTAAAAATTTAAAACAGAAGAGTAATAAGTTAGGTTACGGTTAAATATTCTCATCTCAACAATTTCAATGTGAAAATGAAAATGAAGGTACATAGTATGTATTATTATTAAATAGTATGTAATATTTAACATAATGGACGCTTACGATATTTTTAAAAAGTTATCTAGAGGTGCGAAGTTTTCTAGAAACTTACATCAGGTAAGTTATGGCTATTTCTTGATCGTTTAGTTTAAAACCTTGATGTTTTAATTTACATTTTCAGGAAAAAATAAAAAAAGAAAAACCGGTGTATAGTGTTGTAAAACATGAAACTCCACCAGCCGAAAAAATTGAAAAAGTACCTAAAGTCAGTCAAGACAATTCTTCCATTACGTTAATAAGTGGATTAACTACAGAAAACAGAGTCAAAAAACGCAAATTGAAGGATGAAAAACACATATTAAAGAGTTTGGAGCAGGAAAAGGTAAAGGATTTATTAAATTATTTATTTACAAAGCCAACAGGCCAGTTTTCTTAGTTTTATCAACAATTGTTTACATAAATATGTTTTATTAAAAGCATGTTATTGTCATAGTAGTGTGTGTTTGTTTAATAGCTCGGCAAGAATAACAGCACCATAGGAGCCAAGTAATTTCCAGACTTCTGCTTGAATGTCGTTGAGAACCATTGCCGTACCAGCCTTCATCTTCTTTATAGTGGCACTCACCTTGGCTTCACTAAGTAATGTGTTGTATTGGCTGTGAATGAGAGTTGTCTGGTTCCTTAAAGGAAAAGTCAGAGTTTGGCAGTTTTTAAATAGATATTACCATACAGTTTATGTCAACTGTGAGGATCTGAGTATGTCATCTGAGTTTGTTAAAGATGTAGAGGTTACAATAATATCTAGTTGACGAAGTCTATGCTTTCATACCATTATGTGGTTCATCTTTGGTCTGCAGCTTGCAATACAGCAGGACATCAACACAGTGGGCTCTGGGACTTCTTCAATATTGGTGCAATGAACATAACCTCGTTGATATGTTTGACGTTAAATGTAAGCTTAACACGTTGATGGACAGAGACGCTGTGCAGCGTCTTTTTTAAAATTGTGTTGTGACAGAACGCTGTGAAGCGTCCTTAACAAAATCTAATATCGTGGCAGAACGCTGTACCGCGTTATATTTATAATATAAATACATGGTAACACGTAATCCACTGTCGTAGAATACCTATCTATACCTTCCAATCTGTTACCCATCTGGTAAATTATCGTAATATATTATGGTAATAATATCGACAAAAAGGACACTGTACAAATTGACTATTTTTGAATAACTTAGGTGTCCGTCAAGGTGTTAATATACGTCAGTGTTGCCATATACTCAAATATTTCCCACTCTCACATATAAAATTATTGGCAAGATTTATATTATATGAAATGAAAATGTAAAATTGAAAAATACATATATAATTAAACAAAAATGTGAAAAATATATATATTTTTACCTATACATAGGTATATAATTCATTAAAATTATACCTATAAATATTATAAAATAAAATTATATCTTGCATTTCTACATTTAAAAATACTTATATAATAAAAACCATTAAAATTATGCTTAAAAATTAATAGTTTAGAAACTTTATAAATTACAGAATAAAGTAAAGTTAAATGAAAAAAAAATTAGGTTAAACAAAAGTATTTAGCTATATTTAAAATAAAAAATACTATTTTATGAATGCTTTTTAATATGAATTCAAAAATTGTGGCTGTGGCGTGTACATTTTTACATTTTACAGAAGTAAAACACTTCACATTTACCTAAGTATATACCTAAATACAAATGTGAAGCATTTGAAGACTACAGGGAAAAAACCAGATATGTCAAAATTTCATAAAACCGAGAAAAACGCATATTTAACTTTCAAGACCATAATGTGTCTTACATTGAAACATATAATAAAAATCGGGAGTCAAAATTGCTCCATAAAAACACATGAACGATATTGCACTGTTTTTATTCAGATAAATGTATTACACTCTTTAAAAATCCAGGAAATTCTTGTCAACCTCAATTTGTCCATTGAAAGAACCAGCTTTGTCATCTGAAACAGAAAATGGTCAATGCTTTCAATAATGAAAATAGGTTTCATTTTGATTAGTATTTCTATTGTGAATGATAGGTAATAATAAATACAGCAAAACCTGTCAATAACGGACACTAAAAATGACACAACTATTGGCCGATATAAAAAGGTGGCCGCTAATGAATTTTAAAACTAGCCGGCTAGTACAAGTGGCCGGTTTTGACAGGTGGCCGTTAAAGATCCCTACCTCTGGTTGGAACACCAGGGCATTCGTCAATATTTTCTGTTGGTGAAAGCATGCTCCGGGCGTCGGTGTTTGGTTTTAATCGCAGAACTAGATCGACGCCGACGTTAAATAAAGAAATAAAAAAAAGAGTAATTATAATAATAATTTACCTGTTACGACTAATTATAAGGTAAGACGGAGAAAAAGTCCACAGCTGCAGGACCACAGAATCTCATAAGGCTCATTAAATCGTTGTGCTTGGCTTTTGAAATTGCGAGGGGTCCTGAAACAACATACAGGGAATAATATTATAATTTCTTGTGATACCTTATACCTTACCTGAGTAGGCTGGTAATGGTAATTCAAATTCTCCATTCTTCAACTCCGTGGTTGCCAAGGTCATTCGTTTCTTCAAGATGCTTGAAAAGAATGGTCCATTGTACGAGGATCGATGATTTATGAGTCGACTGTGCTCTGATGTGGCAACAACCTCTTTCAAAACCTGGGTTTTGAAAGGGCATTTTGGAACATACTTTTTGTCCAAAAATGATTTCCAGTCCAAAACTATGTTTCGTGTTACTTTCACGACGATGAATGGAGACGGCTTTACTCGGGACCCCTTGATCATGTCTCTAAACTCTTTTGGTACTTCAAAAGGCATTTTTAGATTCCACAGTCCAACATTCTTGTCACACTCTAAGTATGAATGTCCACGGATGGGATATGTAATTTTTATTTCACGAAGCCCATGGATTTTGTTGTTTACGATATAATGTATGAATCGGAATATCGTAAAATTTTTGTTTTGTCCTCCAGCTGAGTCACAAAAAATTTTTAACTCCTCAACCTCATCATCCAAAAAGTTATTAATAAAATGTAATAAAAACGATGCCACCTCATTGGAACCTTTTTTGGCAATTCCCTCGTGGTAAGAGTAAAAAATTGATTGACCAGACGACAAGACGTGAACATTAAAAGTGTACATTGATAGCTGGCGCTTATAGTACACGTCATTTGTCGCAATATTTGGGATTGGTACATTCTTTGCAAAATCAATACAAATTGCTTCCATTTTTTTTGTTCCTCTGCTGGTTCTTCTTGCTTCTCTTTTTCGTGAATAGAATGCCTCAGCCTTTTTTTTATGAAGTTGGTTCAATGTGGTTAATTGTTTTATTTTATCTGCGTCCGTCACAGGCTGTAATACCTTCAGCTGTGCCTGGAATTCGTCGCAAATTGCACAAGTATCGGTGCGCGGATACCCGAAAGATATGTTAAACTCCTGTACAAAAATACACCTGTACGTTTCGTACGATACGTGAACATTTGGATGTTTTTCTTGAAATAGAAAATACATTTTTTTTACATTCAGTTCTGCAGGCAGGTAAATTTTTTTCGTTTTTTTAATACTATAATGGCTTTGTCGACCCTTGAAACTTCCGATGTGATCCCGTATCAATTGTTTTGTGGTATCTGGCAATTTCCTGTATCCAGAACTATGCTTTCCTCTACCGTCTATTGGGGCTTCTCCAGTTTCTATAAGGGATTGTTTGATATACGTTAGTTTGTTTTTCGTTATTCCATGTAATGAACAAAATGCCTTTAAACAAACTGGGATGTCTTGTCCGTTAACACGAACGCGATAAGCAAAACTAGCAGTATGAAAACGAGCAGTATTTTCATCTGTGCGTGGTCTCCTTTGTTTTACAGGAAGTACTGTGATTAATCCAGCAAGATACGAATTTTGTTCGTTATGAGAAGAAAGTGCGTTGAATGACTGAAGGATTTTCGTTCTTTGTTCTTCACTTACTATATCGAAGCACTTATATCGTGAACAGTGACAAGATTCCCCAGCCTCATGAGTTGATAACTTCAGTTTTTTACTCACTTCACTTATCCGCCCGGTTTTCTTCCTTTTTTTTGGCAGCAGCGGTGTAACTTCTTCATTTTCTGAGTGAGAACTCGACATAGTTCGTTTTAATGTTAGTCACTACAAACGGTCAAAAGCACAAACACACGGTTCAAATGGTATGGATAACACGACTGAAGGCAGTGATGTGTATTTGTCACTTTGTCAGCGGTAGCCGACTACCCCTCCTGTCCCTTTTACCTTTCCAGATTCGATACGTTGATTGAATATTGCCGCGTGTTAGAGATAAGAAATAATCGTTTAAGAAATGCAAACTTGTTATACGTGCCTGTTTATATTTTTACAAGAAACAAAACGAGTCTTTCTATTATATTAGGTATATCAAATGTCTTGTTGAACATTTAATCATTCAGCAAAATAATTATATTCGACATTCACAAATGTTTGTTTTTAAATAAATCCAACGCTTTCTACCGTGAACCTTGTGACATATCTGGTTCTTTCACTGGACGCATGGACAAAGCTGGTTTTTTCCCAGTACCCCGAAACTTTGAAGTGTAATTACTCATGACAAGACTACTTTTTGCCCTGTACGACAGCTCTAAAATGTGCTTCTCCGCGTGTTCTATACCATAGAATAGAAATCTGAAATTTGAAAAAAATTGACATGTCTGGTTTTTTCCCTGTAGTCTTCATTTTACTTCTGTATAAGTTTTTAAAAGCATATATAATTTCGTCAAAGTATCTATTTTAAACACTCCTATACTTTATACAAAAAAAAGTGGCAACACTGTGTCACACAAACATATAGCTGGATGCCAGGTTATGTTCATTGCACCAATATTGAAGAAGTCCGGGCTCTGCCAGTGTTCCCAAATGTAAAAAAATAAAATCGGTAGATCTTTCAAAATATAATATTTTGTTTAAATTTCATAATGTTTTGCAATTCGTTTATTTAAGAAAACATAAAATTTGTTTATTCATTTAAATCTAATAAAATAAAAAAATGAGAACCGAGATACTGAACTTAAAACAAGAAGGTTGCCACTACTGGCACGTTGACACTTGGCTGGCAGTAACATTTAACCAATGACATATAATATTACGTCATTGCATTTAACAGTAACGAAGCGGGAAATACAAGACTTTTCTCTGTTGTCACATTTAAATTGGGTACATATACTACATATTCATGTTATAATTGATTGGTCTGGTATTGTTCTGAAGCTATTTTCTTGTGGCATTTTAAATTAATTACTATTTAACTGGGAATAAGCCACAATTAAAGATAAAAATATGTTTATTGACGTTTCAATTTCCACTTCGGAAATCGTTCTCAAAATACGTAGTATTAATTTCTAATTTGTATTTTGAGAACGATTTCTGAAGTGGAAATTGAAACGTCAATAAACGTATTTTTATCTTTAATTGTGGCTTATTCTCAGTTAAATAGTAATTAATTGGTCTGGATTATACTAAGTATAAGTAGACAAGAGAATAAAACGTTATTTGTCATGTTCATTTTAAACCGCATAATATAATTCTCAAATCAAATAATATAATCTCAAACTAAATGAAACATTGAAATAACAGTAAAATAAATAAAAACATATTGTAATAAGTAACAAAAGATATTAGATCTTAAACAAATCAGACACTTATTCTCTAAAACAGTCAACACCCATTAAGAAAAAAATATATAAATACAAACTCAAACTGATTAAAATCTAAACTCTTAACTGATTAATTCCTATAAAGATGATTATAATTGACTGAAATTTAAATCTTTAAATGAGTCTGTGACTAGGAATCGAATACTTATCCGATAACTTAAACCTTGAGTATAAAATCCTTATACAAAGAAATATTATAAACAAAATCCTTTTACAAATAAATATTTGAATGTTTTCACACGTTTTCGTGAATACACAAAAATGCTCCATGCAAATTACAGGTATCGAAAGAAAAATTGTTTTGTCTCTTACATATTTCTTCTCAAATTTAAGAATAAGCAAAAATTTCTATCTGAATATAAAATTCGGTACAATTTAAGTCTTTTTCGGTACATCGGTAGAAAAACGGCGAAATCGGTACATCTACCGATTTATCGGTAGGTTTGGGAACACTGTCTGCGCATATTAGATAACAGACCTATGCTGATATGCTTTTAATATTAATTGAAGTAGTCATCAAAGGTGACCTTTATAAAGGAGGCTTACATCTGTGTTGATACACTGGTGTTAAAATGATTAGCTGACATTACTCAGTAGGGATAATTCATAATGTAGTGGACCTGAAGTAATCATTTAGTGACATCGATCTATGAACGAAACAATGATATCAGACATTGCTAAAAACATGCAGTTCTCTTCAGTGCGTTATCGTATTGTGACAGATGAACTAGTTTTTGCGTAGTGAAATAGTTTAAATATTTTTATTTTTTTTTGTGAAAAATCATTTTTAATATTTTTTCATTTTTTTCATCAACAACAATAAAAAATGTTAATTGGAATTTTTTCTCTAAAGTTAATCATTTTCAACTTATAAACAATTTAAACTAAAAAAAAAAAAATGAAAAATGATTGAAGGCTCAAGAACACACAATTATTTTTGAATTTACCAAACCTTGTTCTATCAGCTTCTGATACTTTAGTTTGGGCTTATTTAATTTAAAAACATCGTTTTTAGTTGTTAGCTACATGTTATATAGAAGCGGAGACAGAATCTGATTGATTCAATCAATCAGATCAGAATCAATGAGATTGTGTCTCCGGCTTCTATATAACATGTAGCTTCTCCATTTTTAAAAATTTTAAAGTGTTTGTTTGTCTTTGTGTATTGTATTGTTATGTCCAAATTTACATGTATGACATTCTGCTCATGTCGGATAGGCCACAACTGACGAAATGCCTCTGAGGATGATCTATTGATCGAAAGTACTTGGGCAAGATTTAATTAATTACTGTGTTCGATATTTGCCTTGTATACCATCAAAGTTAAACATATTTTGCTGAATTTAAAACCAAAATCCTAATATTTTTCTATGATACATTGATTTGCTATTTATTTATTTGTCCTCTAGATTTTTTTTCAGTTCTTAAAAGGTTTATTTATAAGCCAAATTAGTGCAATGTAAATATTTTACATTTTACACAGCAATTCTTATTTGCAGTGAAGACGGGAAGTTGTAAATTTTTATTAACATATTTCAATGTGAGATAAATAAAAATGCGATGACTAACTGGAATATTTTAGATTAGAGAAATATAGTATGTCATGTTTATTGGAAATACTCTACATCATTAGCACATGCAAATCCTACCCTATCGCCTAATTTCCTATGAAATTACAAATAGTAAATGTTTTTAGGGTCCATTTATTTTTTCGGGCATGCATATTTACGAGGTCCACGAGGTTTTGAAACATCTTTACTAGGACAAGCCTGATGATTTCCACTAGTGAAATCAAATCTATGTGAAGATTCCTTTCATGTTCCTCTTTGTAGTTGTAATATAAGCTGATTTTTTTATGTTTCTATGTTAGAATTCAATTTAAATGTATCTTTGTCTATGTCATTGTTTCTTGATTTTTCCTTTGGGTAAATTAAGGTTGGTATAATTTAGAAGTTTGACCATTTGGTAACCATTGAAGATTGTTTATCTGAACACCTATTTAATATCATATATATTTAAAACAGAGTAGATTTTGTTAAGTTAATGCCTGATGCACATTTTCATAAGCTCTATCTATTTCAGATAAACCACTATAGAAACATAAACAATATAACTGTTGTGGGCCGTCAAGTGCCAGAGCCCTGTAAATCATTTCAAGATTTTAATGTTGATTCTGACATTATTGACAATCTAATAAAATGTGGATATGAGGAACCTACACCAATTCAAAAACAGGCAGTACCCTTGATGTTAAAGGTAATATTTACTAAAATTTATTTGTAGTACTATTACTATAGGGTAACAAAGTGTCATATAGAATTTAAGTTAATTGAGTTCTTTAATTTTAATATTTCTTTAAATAATAAGAAATATATTTAAAATTTTTTTAACAATATTTAAATAATACTTGTATAATAAAAAGCCTATTTAACAAAGCCAAAAGTAACCAAGACTAGGATGCCTACAGGTATAAGTTAATGCTATGCAATAAAGAAATTTGGAAAGCCAAAAGGAATTAAATTACGAGTAGAGAGTTTACAGATATCCTGGCCTGATCTCGAAACCATAAAATCCTGACAAAAGATGGTGCTACCATTAAAGAAGTAGGTTTGCTATAGAAGGCTAATGGCAAATCTACAGAGACCAAAGTGGAAAGTCTTAGAGAACTCATCAACAAGTTTTTTCTGACCTCAAAAATTCTGAATGATGCAGATATGTGAATTTATATAGATTGGGACATAACCACAGTAATCACAAGACCAAGCGGAATTAGATGCTATTAGATAGATATATTTTTCAACAAAAAATTGCAAGTAACTTAAGTGAAATTTTTTGTTATATGTTATTTGTTTACATTTGCCGGTCCACTTGGAAAAATATATTAGAAATACAAAACTTAGTATATTCTGTTTCTAAGCATATTTTTAGGGGTAAACCACTCGTCGACAAAGTCGTGGAGGACATTTACGTGATGTGTTAGTACATACATAACCTTATCCTATTTACTTTGATTCAATAAAAAATTACCATCTAAAAAAAATAGTCTTTTCTATTCCATTCAAATCTTGCAGAAATTTTGGGACACCCTTTATAAATATAATATTAGATAACTAATACCTGGTTATAATTAATAGCGTTACTAGAACGACACTAAAACCTTCTTTTAACTTGCTATTTTCTAGGAAAGACAGATTCTAGCTTGTGCTCCGACAGGTTCTGGAAAAACAGCAGCATTCTTAGTTCCTATAATTCATTCACTTCGTGGACCACAACGTCAGGGTTTTCGTGCGTTAATTTTATGCCCTACAAGAGAATTGGCGAAACAGACACAGAGAGAATGTGATCGACTTGCTGAGGGTCGAGGATTTCGTGTACATGTTATTAGCAAAATAAAAAAGGCTTTGACTCAGTATAATCCGAATGGTTCCCAGAAATATGGTAAGTTTGATACATTTAAATTTTTAAATTATAATTGAACCCTAAGATTTACAGTTCCTTCTAAATTTTGAGTTTGGTCTTTATGACTTTTCAGAGTGTCAAAAGTTCATAAATTTTCATCTTTTATAAAAAGTTATCATCATCATAGTCATTAACATATTGAGCTACAGCAGCTTAGACAGTTTGATTAATGATTTTTCTCTATTGGTCTATAATGTGTCACTGCAGTATAGTGTTTGTTGAGAAGGTTTGAGAGATTTTTTTATAATATCTGCCTATCAGTATGAAGATCTAGCACGTTGGCGTCAACTGTGAGGTCTTCCTTGGACCAACAATCACTCCATTTTGTGAATGCTTAGATTGATATGACCAAAAGAACTTTAAAATAGCAAAGTATTTTTTCTCTCTTTTTACGGCATTGACCTTTCATTTTTATGACCAAACTGTTTTGTAATTTGTATTCACCGAAATGCTAGGGTAAACTGTACTAGAAAAACGTTGACTAGGTTTAATTTCTTCTAGAACAGAGCCATTTGTTCAGCGAGCTATGTGTCGTCTATCCGTTTCTTTAACTCTCCAATCTATGTATAGTAAAATATGGAAAAGACCAGAGTTTTCTCTGGACACAGATAAACCAGTCGACTGGAGTAGTGCTCCAAAGAACTCGTGGATTTAACGAGAGTCTAGTCAAGATTCATGTCGATGCATGCAGCGCTGCTACAGTCCCCTCACTATGTGCGGTTCAACTTAAACCTATGAGTGTTATCGAAGTGCAGCCGCTCCATTATGTTTTTACCCTAAGACGACGAGTTTAATCTCCTAGAAACTCAAACATTCGAAGAGAACAATATGAAAAATCAAAGATGATGAGACAGTCGCTATGATTTTATCATAGTAACGTTTATTTAAAACAAATGCATATCTAAATATGCAGTTTTAGCTTTCTCGACATTTATTGTATAAAACCAGACATTACACTTTGAGCTTTCTAATACATATAACATAACTAGAACTACACTCTATAACAAAATTTATAATATTTGAATATTTGCAGACATTTTGGTGACAACTCCTAACCGCTTGTGCTTTTTGTTAAAACAAGATCCCCCAGCAATTACTTTGAAAAAGTAAGTAAACCATAATTTTTTTAAATTTCTATACAAATTCGTAAATTTTAAACTTAGTATAAACACCCAGAAATACACTGTAAAGTTGTCAGAGGTAGGTTTTGTTCATCTTCACTGAACTGAATATATGTTTCCACTAGGAAACTAAGTTCCTGTAGCTGGCTGTATACCATATATCACAAAATTTTTTATTTCAAATCCTTTATAAAAGGTATATAATAAAATGCCCAAACGGGCTATCACTATTACATTACAGAACGTTTTCGGAATGTTAATTCCATCATCAGTGTAAACGGAGTATACATGCAAAATATATGGGTCAAAATCCTTTAAATGTTACAAATTTCTAGTTGTTTTACATTATATTTATAATTACAAATTTAGACTAGGCGGGATCTGTAATAATTCAGACGATAATGGACATTTTCCATAGGAAAAAGGTTTACTGAAAAAAAAATCGCAAATTTTCAAATTTATAGGGCCCTAAATAAGGCCTTCAGATAGTTGCAATTTTTTTTACATATAAAGGAAGGCTCAAACTTCCAAACGTTTTGTGTAAAATTCAAATCGGTTCACTAGGAGAACCTAGAAAATTTTTTAAAGTTTTAAACATTTTTTAGGCTTATAAACAAATTGAATAACTTTATGAGCTTTAAACATATCATTTTCGAATCAAAATATATTCTTAAATCAAATAATGTCATTATTACGATAAAAATGCAGAAATTAATTATTATTCCAAAAAGTTTGATTTTCAAACTTTTTGAAATTTTGAATTCAAATTATTACTGTTATTATATATTGTTACTTTTAGTAAACAAATATGTATTTATATGTTATTTATATAAATGTTAATAAACAATTTGAATGGTTAAAACAAAGGCGAACGAATTTTTTTTTTGTAAAATCAAACTTTTTAAAATAATTAATTTCTGCAGTTTTATCATAATAATGACATTACAGTGGAACCTCGATTATCCGTCTCTCTATTAACCGTCACCTCTGTTAACCGTCAGGATCCATACATAGGTTATATTGACAACATAAGTAAAAATTTAGTCATCAATTCATTTTGTTTGCATAAAAATTTCCATCAAAGACGATTCTCATTTTGTACAATGCACCTGCCCATCCTAAAGCCGGTATGCTGCGGAATGACGATAAAAATATCACGTACTCTTTTCTGCCTGCGAATACATCATTGATACAACCAATTGATCATTCGGTCATTAACAGATTCAAAAGAAGATACAGGAAAAAAATTATTTAAATCCTAGTTATGGAAGAGTAATATTCTTGGCCAGAATGCTGGAAAGCATACAATTTAAAACACGCAGTCGACAATGTTGTGGATGCTTGGGCTAATGTTTCGGAAGTAACGCTGAAAAGAGCCAGGAACAAATTATGGTCCTGGCATCAACTTAAGATGAAAATGCTCCGCTTAAATAAAGTTATGGCTGAATCAACTGTTTTGTTTTCGTTGCCTAAAGATGACATAAACGAATGGTTAATTTGTGATGAGGACGCAAACGGCTATCGATTGCTAACAGACGATGAAATCGTTGAAATGGCAACAGAGGCGGACGAAACTGATTCAAAAGCCGACTTTGATGGTGGCGATGTTGATGATGCTATTACAACTCACAAAGATCTGTGTAAAGAAGCTAGAGGGGCTGCATCGCACACACAACAATTCATCAAGTGGTATTCTCGACAAGAAGAAGCAAATAAGGTAGATTTCATGATTTTACGTCGATTAAGAAATTCAGCCGTTGCCAAATGTAAAGTAACAATAAAACAAACAAAAATTTCGAATAATTTAAATCAAATTGATTCGACTGTACTAACATAAATATCTCTTATATTGTCAAATAAAACATACAAATAAAATTTGAGAGTTATACTATGATTTTTTTTTAATGTTCTGTTAACCGTCTTTTCGATTATCCGTCATACCCTTGGTCCGGTGCCCTGACGGATAATCGAGGTTCCACTGTATTTGATTTGAGAATATATTTTGATTCGAAAATGATATGTTTAAAGCTCGTAAAGTTATTCAATTTGTTTATATGTCTAAAAAATGTTTAAAACTTTAAAAAATTTTCTAGGCTCTCCTAGTGAAACGATTTAAATTTTACAAAAAGCGTTTGAAAGTTTGAGCCTTCCTTTATACGTAAAAAAAATGCAACTATCTGAGGGTCTTAGTTAGGACCTACTATAAATTTGAAAATTTGCGATTTTTTTCCAGTAGACTGGATTGCACAATTATTATGCAAAACCTATCCGACCGATCTTAACAAAATTTAGCACACGTTTTAAACATATTAAAAAGTTTTTCTAGGCGGAATATGGAGCTTGTAAGTCAAGTTTCTTCTTCTTTAAGTGCCGTCTTCGTTCCGAAGTTTGACTATCATCAAAGCTATGCGTATTTTTGATGCTGCAGATCTAAACAGTTGGTAATTGGTGCAATTGTACCATTCTCTCAAGTTTTTCAACCATGAATGCCTTCTTCTTCCTATAGATCTCTTTCCCATTATCTTTCCCTGTATAATCAATTGCAGCAACTGGTATTTATCTCCCCTCATAACATGTCCCAAATATTGTAGTTTGCGCTTTTTAACAGTAAGTATCAGCTCTTTCTCTTTCCGCACTCTCCGCAAAACCTCCACATTTGTTACTTTCTCTGTCCAGGGTATTCTTAATATTCTACGATACATCCACAACTCAAATGCTTCTATCTTTTTGGTATCGATCTTTTTCAATGTCCATGTTTCCATCCCGTAGAGGAGAACTGACATAACGTAACATCTCAAAAGGCGAATTTTAAGTTTTAGACTTAGATCTCTTCCGCAGAACACCTTTTTCAATTTAGTAAATGTGGCTCTAGCTTTCTCTATTCTGGTTCTGATTTCTTCAGAGCAATCATTATTTTCGTTGATAACAGTTCCCAGGTAATTATATCTTCTTACACGTTCGATTCTTTGATCATGCACGGTTATGTCAGGGAAGTTTTGTGGTGATTTAGATATTAGCATTATTTTTGTTTTGCTTATGTTAAGTGATAATCCGTGTTCTTCACTGCATTCTACTATTTTGTTAATTAGTATTTGAAGATCTTCCCAAGTTTCTGCGATTAGTACCGTGTCATCGGCATATCTCAAGTTGTTTATTCGGATGCCATTTATCTTAATACCTATATTTTGATCCGAAAGTGCTGTGTTTATAATGTCTTCGGAGTATAGATTGAATAAGGTCGGTGAGAGTATACAACCCTGTCTTACGCCTTTCTTGATCTCGATTTCCTCCGTTGTCTCTTGCTCTATTCGGATATTTGCTTTCTGGTTATAGTAAATCTTAGAGATAATTCTAATGTCCCTTTTATCCAAGTTTTTTTCTACTAGCAGTTTCATTAAGTGATCGTGACGAACTTTATCAAACGCTTTGTTGTAATCAATGAAGCACATATATATATCTTGGTTTATATCTAGACATCTTTGGCATATGACGTTAAGTGCAAATAGTGCTTCTCTTGTTCCAAGCCCGTTCCGAAATCCGAATTGAGTATTACTGATATCTGCATCTAGTTTTCTATTAATTCTTGAGTGGATTACTTTGATGAATACTTTTAATGTATAGTACATCCACTAATAATTTTCCAACATAAATATGCCTCACTCTGATTTCAAAGAGACCGCCTTTCAAATCAAGGTTGTCAGACATATTTCCTAAAATTCCTAAGGTTATATTTAAAAAATATTCTCTATTCTCTATTCGTTATTATTCAATTGCTAGTCAACGAACGACACTCTTAAAAAATAATATGAACATATTCTCAAAAAATATATCTATATAAATTAATTAACTAGGTACTAATATTTCCATGGACTCTTCACTAATGAATTAAAGCAACTGTGAACTTTGTATATATAACTTATACTCTAAGTAATTTTCGAATATCGGCAACATTGTAGTCTGGACAGAATTTCGAGGTGATTTCGATGTTCGGTCTATATCGACGTTGCCATGTTGGTGAATTTAGCGGTAATACTCTTATAGATATAATGATCGACTTTTAAGAAATCAGACAACTTTTAAGAATCCAAGTTCTGAAAAACGGTTTCAAGAATTGTATTATTTTTTTCCAAATTTTATTGATTTTATACCTTACCTGGAAACATGAAAAATTGCAGATATATTAATTATGGTATTAAAGTTACATTCAATAATTTTAAACTTGGCAACAGCGAAGCGCATCGCAATAAATCTTGATGGAACACCTGTTTGTCTGGCTATATGACACCCTAAATAGTTCATTTTGCAAGCAGCTATCAGAGGCGGATAATAAGGTAAGTAATATTATATTTTTCTAGGATGGCATTTTGGAGACCATTTGATACGAATGATCAAGATGCATCAACTTCTGTGTTATCAATAGATAATGACAATTATGTTAATGACAGCCCCGAATTAAAAAATAAAGATTTGCACGTACAATCCCAAAGAATAGTTTTAAATATGTATGAGTGTTTGAAAAAAGAAAATATTTTGATGGCTGATAATGCAATTGTTTCGAGAATTCATGTATTAACAAAAATCGGGTATAAGACGATATATACAATTATTAAATTAGGCATTGTTACAGATCATTCCTTAAAACGAAAGCGACCAAATAAAAAATTGGGTAGGATTGACACTGCTGCAAAAGACGTTATTCAGCGAACAGTTTACAATTTTTACAAAGAAAATAGAGTGCCTACTTTAGAACTGATTCGTGAAAAATTGAGAGATTTCCCTGAATATAATTATACATCTTTGGAAACACTGCGCGAGATTTTGATAAGTTGTGGATTTAAATATAAGAAATTAGATAATCGAATGGTAATAATGGAATCTCGGCGTATTGTTGAACTTCGACGAGAGTATTTGAGTAAAATAAAACAGTATCGTAATTCAAACAGAAACATAATCTATTTAGATGAAACCTGGTTCGATACGCATGATGTTGTCAAGTACGGCTGGGTTGACAACACAAACAAGTGTGCATTAAATACACCCTGTTCACGAGGAAAACGTGTTATTATTCTTCATGCCGGAAGCAAAGATGGTTTTGTATCTAATGCATTGCTATTGTCGGCCAAAAATATAACAAAGTCTTCTGCCGATTATCACGAAGATATGACAGCCGATTTATTTGAAAAGTGGTTTGTTGAACAACTCTTGCCCAATATTCCGCCGAATTCAGTGATTGTTATGGATAATGCGTCGTATCATTCCCGCATATTAAATAAAATACCTAATAATAACACGAAAAAGGACGAAATTTTAAAATTTATGGAACTTAAAAATATCACTGTTCCTAAAAAGATTCCAGTAAAAAAAGAATTAATTAGAATGATCAAAAGTCGGAATTTCAAAAACGAATACGTTATTGACACCATTTGCAGCAGGCACGGCCATACTCTTTTGCGATTACCTCCATACTATTGCATTTTTAATCCAATTGAAATGGTTTGGGGTACCGTAAAAAAACGATTGCGAAAATATAATCAGTCACCAACATTAAGCGCAGTGGCCATTGAGAATATTCGAGAAGTAATTAGTGGCATTAATAGCGATGTGTGGAAAAGTTGCGAAGCTCATGTTGTAAAAATAGAAAATGAATATCCTGTTTTACCGGCAATAGCACCAATAGTTATACAACCTGGGAACGATTCGACTTCAGAAGACTCTGACGATTCTTTTTAGTCCTTCTAATTAATTTCTTTACAGCTATCGCGATGCATCTTGAACACTAGTATTCATTATTATACAGTGTGTCGCATTTAAGATGAAGACACCTCTATATATCAGCTATCAAAATACATACAGATTAGAAATTTTGCAGTCATACATGTTGATAGTGCACATATTTTTAAGATAGTTAGTTATCTGAAATTTAAATTTTAAACGCGGCTTACTGCGAATCCACAAACAGGGTAAATTTTCGATATTTTGCTTCGCGTTAGAGAAATCGGAAAAACTTATTTGGAAAAGTTATTCCACTTATTGTAACCGCACATTCCAAAATTCATGACAAAATTCGCAATTTTAGTTTTTCAGTATTATTTGTAATCTCGATCCTAAATCTACAATTGGCTGTCTAAAGATGCATCTCGGGACAGCCAACTGTCCGTTTTAGAATCCTGACTACAATTGAAGAGCTTATTTCCAAAGTGTCTTAAATCCATATAATGAAATCCATGAAATTACAGATTTTCATACAAATTTAACATACAAATTATACAATTTTACAATTTTCATATGCACTTTTAAATGGCAAATAAGAAGTTGTTTTGGTACATATAACTTTATTTTAGACTTGAAGAAATCTATAAAGTTTAAAAAAAGAAAATTAAAAAAATCGAAATTTTGGATTTAAGACACTGGAAATAAGCTCTTCAATTATTGAAAAAAGTAAAAGTGCGAATTTTGACATAAAACTTTGTTATGTGGGGTTATAATAATATTTGGAACATCTTTTCCAAATAACTTTTTCCGATATCTCTAACTCGAAGCAAAATATTGAAGATTCACCCTGTTTGTGCATTAACAGTAGGCCGTGTTTAAAAATTAAATTTCAGTTGATTATCTTAAAAAATGTGAATTGACAACCTGTATGACTGTGCAAAATTTCAAATTGGTATTTATTCTAATAGCCGAAATATAGGGGTATCTTCATCTTAAATGCGACACACTGTATAGAGTCAGAACAAAAAAAAACAAAAAACAAAAAAAAATATAAAAACAAAAAAAAAAAAAATAATAAAAACAAAATGAAAAAAAAACTAACTTTATATTCTTACTAACATACCTAACCCTTTCCTTTCCTGGCAAGGAAGGCTCATACCTCCTCGTGGTCCTTGCTGGACAGACAATATTTTGAGATTTTCTGTCCTTGCTGGATAGACAATCTTTTAAAATTTTCTGACAGAATGAACCATTATTTACAGATAATTGTAAAAAAATATTATGGTTTATGTAAAAACTAAATAATAAGTCCAATATTCTTATAAATCACTAAAATTAACAAGCTTTAATTTGAAAGAATTAATTTGTTATTTATTAGATGTTGTGAGCCCGCTCACATTTGAAAAAAAAAACTGATTCTGTCCTTTGAAGATTCCTATTCAAAAATACCGCGTTTAAACAAATCGAAGGTTGAAGGGTGCCGGACATTTTTGCCGGAAACAATTCAAATTCAAAAGATCTCCTTTTTCTGCTACGGAAAATATTACCCCAATTTCTCACCAAAATCAATGTCGAGACTTTAGTTTAAATACTCTTGAATCTCAAAAATACTCATTTACATATTTTTCAAGCCTCGAAAATGCATATTAGGTATCGCATTTTTCGGATTTTAAATCGCCTATATCTCCAAAACTATTAACTTTTGAGAAAAATGACATAGATCTTATTTAGAGTCACCCAAAAACCTAAAAAATATTTTTTGGAGCACAAAAGGTGATATTTTGAATTTGTTTAAAAAATTGTTCTGTAAAAAAAATTTTCCTGAATATAATTATGTAAAAATTAATAAAAATTATGATTTTTCTTGAAATATGCGTTTGATGAACTGATCCCTTTTCTTAATTTCCACGCCAATGGTCGGCATTTGCATCAAAGAAGCTCAAAAGCCGCCACTTGGAAAATTGACTTTGGAAAAAGTATATGACCCATTAAGCTTATAGTGCGGTAGTCAGTGCACTGTTTTGCATTTGCCTTTTTTGGTAAGGTTACAAAAGTTGAAAGTAGCCATTCCTTTGGTATTTCTCCTCTTTTGTAGATGCAGTTAAAAAGGTCGAGTAGAATATTCACTGATTCGCCTTCCACAAGCTTAAGAAGTTCTGATGTGAGCCCGTCTGGACCCGGTGATTTACCATTTTTTCATTATTTTTATAGCGTATAATAGTTCTTCTTTAGTTATTTCTGGTCCTTCGTCGCCTTGCAAGTTATCTATATTAGGTTCTTGTCTTTCATCGTCGAACAATTCTTCTACATAGTTCTTCCAGGTCCTAAGCTTTTCTTGTAGATCGGCTATTATTTCACCATTTGCGTTGCATAGGAGATTGGGATGTTTTCGTTTTTGTGTACCTGTCAGTTCCTTTATCTTTTTATGTAAGTTAAAAGTGTCATGTTTGAGATGTAGTTCTTCGATTTCCTCGCATTTTCTTGTATAAAAATTTTCCTTTGCAGTTCTTATTTCTTTTCTGATTTGTTTGTTTACTTCATTATATTTTTGGCTGCATTTTCCCTTTAACTGTCTTCGCTCTTCCATGAGACCTAAAATTTTTTCTGTTATCCATTCTCGTCCTTTTTTCTGTTTCTCTTTGGTAAGCATTTTCTGGGCAGGTTTTATTATGGCGTCTTTTAAATCTTGCCACTTGTCTTCTACATGCGTGTTCTCTGTCTTTGTAGAAAGCATTCGTAAGTTATCATTGATATGTTGTTTTAAATCTTCTTTAATTGTTGGATCTTGTAAGCGGCTGGTATCTATGTGATCTATTTTTGTTTTATTTGAAGGTCTTTTGAGTCTAATGTGTACCCGCGCTATCAGGGGGTTATGATCTGAAGAAACATCTGCGCCTGGATAAGCCTTAACTGATCTTATACAGTTTCTGTATCGCTCATTTATTAAAATATAATCTATCTGATTCAAGTCAAGTTTAGAAAGTCAAAACATTTAAAGGATTAACTTCATTTTTTTGTACTTTTTTTTCCAATTATTGCTATTTTTTGAACAATAAACATTAAATTTTTTATTTCTAGCTAACGAAATATTGTGTAAAATTGAATAACGAAACTTTTAACTTCGTATAATTTTTTCTCTAGGATCAATATTTTCCGAATTATAAACGAAAATAGGAGCAAAAAAATGAGAAATTTTCAATTGTTTTCAGATTTTGTTAAATAAAAAATTTAGCATAGGGTTTGCGACTGGTGCATATCGTGATTATCGATATTGGGCACATCCTGAAGGGATTCCAGCAAAAAATAGCTTCCTATGGAAAATGTCCAATCCAAAACAGATTCCAGTTCCGTCTAGACTAATTAGGATGTTTAAGCTACCGTTGGAATTGGTAACATGGCGACGTATGACCCTACATAGGTTATATGGTCCTGAGACGAAGTGTCTTCGAGGACCTGTTGATATCAACTGATGATGGATGTCTAGGGCTAACTGGACTCCAGCACAGTTCAGAGGTAATGTAAGTCAATAAAACCTCACCAACTACAGGGGGTCATGTAAGATGCCCCCATTTTCAGTTTTTAGTAATCTACAAATTAACAGTCTATTGCATTTACCTTCATAAACACCATGAGGATAGTTTTTTAATACGGAGTTCCTTCCTATGTTTTCATGTGGCCATACAATGTTTTTTTGACAACTTTTTATTAAACTGATGATGGAATGATTCAATTCCGAAAAGATCTTCTTTAAAATAAAAATTTTAAGCTTTTAATAAGCATTTTTTTATACCTTAATACACACGACCACCACGTGCTTTGTATTCAACAGGTATACTAGCCACTCCTGGATATCTCCACTTCATGGTTTGTTCCAGTTTCACTTTTAACTTTTATGTACCTATTTAAAAAATTATTTAAATTAATACTTACTATGTTGCAGTGTCGAATGGCTTGTCATCGACGAGGCTGATAAACTCTTCGAATCTGGAGTTCGAGGTTTCAGGGACCAACTTACTGAAATCTTAAAAGTTTGCGATAATGAAAAAAGAAAGATTGCAATGTTTAGTGCCACCTATACTCCAGTCGTTGCCAAATGGTGCGTCCACAATATGAAGGGATTGGTGCGAGTCACTATAGGACATAGGTAATTTTTTAAATTAGCTTTAACTGACGAGCACAAAGTGAAAATCTTTCGGCTTAGTTCATATATGGCACTGCGATACGAGAATTTGCCATTGCGTTATTTTAAGACATATCTTAACAAAGTAAGGATAAAAATGTGCAATTGATCAAACGAGTTTTGTTTTTCTTACAGATGTATAAAGTAAGTTTTCTCAGTTTTTATTAACGTATAAATTTAAATGTAAACGTAGACTTACAAAAAGCATATGACAGTGTACCCCTCAGTAAACTATGGTCAACCCTACAGCAAACCAACATTAAGCATGGTCTTATCAAAGCAGTGCAAAGTCTGTATAATGGAACGACTGCAAAAATTAAAACTGGATCAAGGATATCTAAGGGATTTAAGGTCACGAAAGGACTAAAGCAGGGTTGCTGTATTTCGCCTACCCTTTTCAAAATTTATCTGGAACAAGCACTTAAGCTGTGGAAAAGAAAATGTAATGGCATGGGAATCCCTCTCAATGATGAGTACACTGTACACCTTATGTTTCGCTGATGACCAAATACTGATTGCTCAGGATCATGACGACTTGAGTTACATGACTCGGAAGCTAATAGAAGAATATAACAAATGGGGTCTCGAAGTCAACATTAAGAAAACTGAAGCCATGTGTATTGGAGGGACAAAGCAGTCCATTATATTAGACGATGGGGTAGAAATTAGACAATGTGATGAATACAAGTACCTGGGTTTGAAGATAACTCAAGATGGAACACTCGATGATGCTATAAAAGACAGAAACATACAGAGTAGAAAAGCCATATGCATGATGAACGGCATTCTGTGGGACCAAACAATATCTAAAGCGAACAAACAACTTATATACAACACTATACTTAGAAGTGTAATCACATATCGTCGCCTTGGTGGTCAAAAGGCGTAATCCACAATTTTTATGAATCGGAGGTAAGTACGTAAGACTACTTTAAATTCGTCAAAAAATGTTGTGGTCAATGAATTTTACCCATAAATATCTCCTAGTAAGGTATTTTGTAAATTGCCAATAGGCTTAATACACATATCATAAAGCAGTCCGTAGTAGCAAGCAACATACGTCTGTTGACTTTCCAAAATAAAATATTTTTTTATATCCTTCCCTCTGTTGACAAGAGGTGTATGTGGCATACGACCTTTGACTACAGTTACTTTACCTGATGATAGGGTCGTGTTAGAAATGCGACCATTATTAACCAGCAAAAATCTTTAGAATTTGATCATTGTCACGTAGATTTACAATTTGGCTGGTAGTCTTGTATTGGCTTTCGTTGTTAAACAGTTACCTACTATAAATTATTCTTTTTAAAATATTTCTGTTAATGTGTAGGAAGTGATAAAAGTAAAGAAAATAATGAGTTGCGTACGTGGAAAACGAATGGTTGCAGCAGTTTTAAATCAAGAAAACCCCGAAGGTAAGCAATTATACACAATTAATACTACATTTATGTGCAAAATACACTTGAGTAGGAGCCAAGGAAGCTCAAGTATTATTCCATAAATTGTTTTTACTTGTGCATAGTTTATTATTATAATTATGTTTCAATTAGTTACTTGGGACGATTAAATTGAATTTTCTGAGCTTTATAATGTTATTCTAAGCCCAAACTTAAAGTAATTTTAATTTAAAGCACGTGGTGTTCGTGTGTATTAAGGTATAAAAAAAGCGCTTATTAAAAACTTAAAAATTTTTTTTTATTATAAAGAAGATCTTTTCGGAATTGTATCATTCCATCATCAGTTTAATAAAAAGTTGTTAAAAAACATTGTGTGGCCACATAAAAAACATTCGATGGACATCTGGATTTAAAAAATAATCTTCATGTTATTTATTCAGGTAAATGCAATAGACTCTTGAATTGTGTAATATTAAAAAATGAAACTGGGGGCATCTTATATGACCCCCTGTAGTTGGTGAGGTTTTATTGACTTATAAGATGCCCCCAGTTTCATTTTTTAATATTACATAATTCAAGAGTCCATTGCATTTACCTGAATAAATAACATGAAGATTATTTTTTAAATCCAGATGTCCATCGAATGTTTTTTATGTGGCCACACAATGTTTTTTAACAACTTTTTATTAAACTGATGATGGAATGATACAATTCCGAAAAGATCTTCTTTATAATAAAAAATTTTAAGCTTTTAATAAGCGCTTTTTTTATACCTTAATACACACGAACACCACGTGCTTTGTATTCAACAGGTATACTAGCCACTCCTGGATATCTCCACTTCATGGTTTGTTCCAGTTTCACTTTTAAAAAAAATATTTTAATTTACTTTATTTGCAACAAATTTTATATTTATGATCATTAAAGCCATACTCTGTATTGTATGGAGTATTTTCTAATTATATTATTTTATTTATTATTTCTATTTATAGTTGCTGACAAAACAATTGCACAACCCGGGTATTCAGAGGCGGACCTTGTGACTCACGGCTCTTATGAAACTATTGAAAAAGCCACATATGCTGAGCTTAGTAATGTTATTTCAAGCAGCAGTTCTATAGGTATTTTTTATTTCTCTTTTTTTTTGACACCAATATCTTTTAAGTCAGGCAAACATTAACTGTACAATTCTTATAATAAGAAATATATTTATATTTAATTTTTTTTCTGTAGATAGTGCCAATAAGAACATTATAGAAATGGGACAATCAGAACAGAGGATAAAGGAGAAAAGCTCTGTTCAATCTAGTCAACAGGCCATGTACACTGAGCTTCGTAATGTTATACCAAGTACAAACTCTGAAGGTATTTGTTTAAGCTTATTTTACTTGTAATAAAAACTTGCTGTAAATATTTGAGCTGGGCCATTGGGCTTTCGTTTTATTATAATATGAATCTTTTATTTTTACAGTTAATGATAAGAATATTGGACAAAAGGAATATGCAGAGCTTGGACTCCATATTCAAAAGCCTGACGAATTAAATGAACTAACGGAATATGCTGATATTATTCATGTTTATCGAAGCTCACACTCTGAAGGTACTTATAATATTATTTTGCTTGTTGTAGAAACTTTTCCTATTACTAATATTATAAATCTTGCATTTTACAGGTGTCTTTGAGAACTTTACAGAAAACTTGTATTCAGCGTCCGAGACTGACATCCAAAAGCATGATGAATCTAATGCTCAATATACCGAACCTAATAATATTGTTATAACACTCACAGACTCTAAAGGTATGTCTCTTATTTTTACCTATAACAACTTGTTAATCTTTTAAACCACAGCCCGATTACTTTAATCTTGTCAAATAATATCTAATGTAACTTGTTACAGGCGATGACGGGATCACTAATTCCGATTTACCAACAGAAAATTTGAGTAGGAAGCGCCAGCGAAATCCAGAGAAATGGAAACGAAATGCTCAAAAAAAGTTAAGGATGGCAGGCAGTGAGTACGAAACCAGAGCCGGAGCAAAGGTTCGTGCTAAAGCCGTGCAAGAAGTTGACTGCAAATGTCACTACAAGTGCACTACTAATATTAACAGGAAAATACGGGAACAATTGTTGGCCGACTACCTAACTTTGGAAACTGAAAGAGCTAGATGGTCGTTTATTGGTAAACAAGTGACAAGTGTTCCTGTAAAAAGAAGGTACATGGGTGATAATAATCGACGCAAACGAACCTTAGAATATTCTATTAGTATTAATGGAACAAACCATAGAGTCTGTAAAAAATTTTTTTTGGGAACATATGATATTTCTGAAAAAAAAGTTCGAACTTCAGTGGAAAAGTTGGCTCCTACAGGTGTTACAAAAATAGACCATAGGGGTAAAAAAGAACCCCCCAACAAAAAAAGCGATGAAGTAAAAAACTTAATTAGGGATCACATCAAATCTCTACCCGTTGTTGCTTCCCACTATTGTCGGAGCAGTAGTAAGAGAATGTACTTGCCTTCTGGGCTGAGTGAAACTCGGCTCTACTTAGATTATGTAGAATACTGTAGGGAGCGTAATGTTGTTCCCGAAAAAGCTAGTTTCTATAAATCTATTTTCACAAATGAATTCAATTATGGCTTCCATGTTCCCAAAAAAGATCAGTGCGACTTTTGCACTCAATACAAAAATAAGTCGACAGAAGAGAAAAAAACAGATGAAGAAAAATACAAGTTGCACCTAATACGCAAAGAAGAGGCCAGAGAGCACAAGCAAAATGACAAAGCCAAAGCTAAGTTAGATTCAACATTTGAATGCTATAGTATGGATCTAGAAAAAATACTGTTAGCACCAAGTTTACAAGTAGGACAACTATATTATTTAAAAAAACTAAAGACCTACAATTTTACATTGTATAATCTGGCTGTTGGGGAAGCTACTAATTATATGTGGCATGAAGGTTTTGGTTCAAAGGGTGCATCAGAAATCGCCAGCTGCCTATGGAACTTCTTGATGTCGTTGGGAGAAAAAAATGAAATAACCTTCTATTCTGACACTGCGTCAGGTCAGAATCGCAATTCTGTTATATCTGCAATGTTTTTGCGTGCTGTGGAACATATGCCCATTAATATCATTAATCAGAAATTTATGGAATCAGGGCACTCCGAGATGGAGTGTGATTCTGTACACTCTGCTATAGAAGCTCGGGGTAGAAAAGTAGATGTATTCACACCAGAAGGTTGGTACATGGTGGCTCGTACCGCTAAAACCAGAAAACCTTACTACAAGGTTGTTGAAATGGTGCATACCGATTTTCTTGACTTTAAGAAATTCAGTAATCAGTTTATAACAAACAAAACAATTTCTGAAAGCGGAGAAAGAGTTAAATGGCTAAATGTTAAGTGGTTTCAATATCGCAAAAGTGAACGTGCAACTATTTACTATAAATATCAACTGAGTGAGGACCACTTCCAATCTCTGAACATACATCGACGACAACTTCGAAACCAATCCACGATAGATGTATCAAATTTATACGCAGCCAAACTCAAAATTGAGAAAAGCAAATCAAGAGATTTGTTAAAAATGTGTGAGAAAGGTAGTATTCCATCTGCCTACCACGACTTCTACAAAGGTTTAGAGTTTGATGAGGATGCTACTCGTAAAAACAGTGACACAGAAAGTGATGTAGACTAGTAAAGTCTTTATTATTACGTAACCTCAATTTAGTTTTATTTCTTTGTTTTTCAGAATAGTATGTAATAAATTTAAAAGTTCAATTTTTGTTTTATTTTAAACAAATATTTCTGCTGTTAATATTATCTACAGGTATTACAAGCTTGCATAGTAAAGAATAACATTCATGTAAATACTATTCTAAACAAGTATTTTTTATTATGAATATTTATTATGTTTAAAAGTTTCAGTTTCAAAGTATTTTAGAGGCATGATTCTTTTAACACTTACACAAATGCAACTAATTTTCAGTGCTCAATGGACGTATGCCACGTATCTTAAAAAATATTTAACAGAAAATTTTAATAATTAACATACATCTAAATAATCCTATAAAGCATGCTAGTTAAAAGTTGCAGCTCTTAATCATAAAAAATGACCAAGTTATAAACAAAACAATTGAAATTTATTGGCTTAAAAATGTTTGAAAGGCATTTTCTCAGTTTCACGACATTGTGGTTTACGCCTGTTGACAACCAAGACGACGATATGACAGTGAAGTTTGGCCAATGAAACAAAGAACAGATAAACTGTTACTAGCAACAGAAATGGACTTCTGGAGAAGAGCAGCAGGCAAATCAAGAAGAGATCGGATACCAAATGAGAGAATACGAGAAATGATGGGAGTCAAGCATACAATAGTTGATGACATAAAAACAAAACAGTTAATATGGTACGGCCATGTACAGAGAATGCCAGATGACAGGATTCCAAAACAGATTTTGACGTGGACACCACAAGGGAGAAGGAAAAGAGGAAGACCGAGAAGAAGCTGGAGAGAGGGAATTGAAAAAGAACTAGAAGAAAGAGAAATCCCTCCAGGCCTATGGCTAAATAGAGAAGAATGGCGGTTAGGAGTCGGAAGGCGTCGGAGAACGCTGTAAACCGATAGTAGTAGTATAAATTTAAATGTCCGCACGTTACAACATCCTTCGTCTTGAATGATTTATTACTAAATGAAATCTATATAATTTTATATCACCCATTCATATACAAGTACTAGAGACTTTGCTAACCTGCTATATGCGAACTGTTCTTCAGCTTCCGATCAACCTTTTATTTGACCTTGCTATACCCAGAGCACTCCTTGTGGTATATAAAGATCGGGTTGCCATTCCACTTACATTTTTATTTGTTGTCTTGGAATCACTATTTTCTGAGTCCTCTTTTATTAAAACTAATGGTAGGTAGAGAAAGAATGCTGAACACTTTCCAAAATACTTTTGAGAAGCTTAAGTTTTAACTTCATACTTCAGAAACTTCATATTTCTTCGTATAGATGTCGCCACAATAGTTCACTTGTACATTATTTGATAATAATTGCCCCTTAATTATTATTTAAAATTATTTGTATTTTTTTATAATCATTCATGCAAAAATACTCATAAACAATTTATACTCACATAATTTTTATTTTATTTTATTTTAGGAATGCTGCAACAGAGTTAGTAGACCAGGAGTTGTTGTTTGTAGGGAACGAACAAGGAAAACTATTGGCGTTTAGAGACTTAGTCCGAAAAGGCTTGAGTCCTCCGGTTCTTGTGTTCGTTCAGAGTAAAGAAAGAGCCCAGCATTTGTTTAATGAACTTATTTATGATGGAATTAATGTAGATGCCATACATTCGGATAGGACACAGTTGCAGGTAAGATTTTTTAAGGGTATTGTTTAGTTTAGTTACAAGTTACATGATTCAACTAGTATAAAGTTTTTTACAAGAATGAAATGTCATTCTTCTTTTTCTTTTTTTGGGCTATGTCCTCGACAATTTACCCAGTTTACTTCGAGGGTACACATTTTTTGTCTTGATTCAGCAATGAGTGTCTACCTACACTTATATTTTTCCTTTGTTTGTTTTGGGTTATTCTACATGTATACTTGGGACGTTTTTTCCATTTGGTCCCAGTGAAGATAGCCTCAAATTAGCTGTCAATTAAGTTTCACAGAACGAAATATCGCGTTAGCAATTCACGATTAAAACTGCATGTAGAGGGCAGGTCGATTGCAGTGTCATGACGGATATAAATGGTATAAACAATCATAACAGTCGAATGTTTACCATTGATTTTCCATGTTTAGTTAGGTTTAAGACGAGTTATTTATATAATTTAGAAATGGAAATTAGCCTTAATGAAATCTTTGAGTATTGTGGTGAAGAAAAGAGTTCATTGGTTGAAGGGGAAGCAGTTTTTAAGTGATGAATTCCTAAATTTTAACTTTAATGTTTTGAACTGATTTGTGTATTGATGATTATGAATCCTATTTTGTGTATACCTGGGAACCCAGAACATAATATTCTGTTTAATGTTTGTCTTAACTAATATATGCATTTTTTTATATTATGCCTTACGTTTTTAATATGTTAATTTTTATTTTGAAAAATTTCTTCAATTTTATAAATTGAAGAAATTAACAAAGCCAACTAAGCCTTGAAAGATATATCTCGACCCCCTGAAAACCCTCAAACGCGCGAACACATATCACAGCAAATAAATAGTAAAATACACAGAATATCAAATATACCAAACGAAAACAGAACCATTAACGAATGCTGGTATGCCATTCAAAACTCTATTTTAGAGAACGTACAAGAGTCTTTGAAAACACCTACCATGTTGGCAAAAAATGAGTGGATGACACAAGAAATTCTAGATCTGATGGAAGTTCGACGGCAACACAAAAATAGAAATATTATCGAATATCGTGAAATTAATAAACGCATAAAAAGAAAAATTAAGCAAGCCAAAGAATCCTGGCTTGAGAATTTATGTAAAGAAATAGAAGACCTCCAAAAAAAGCATGACAGCTTCAACCTGCATAAGAAACTTAAATATACTGCCGGAATTAGAAAACAGAAAAATGCTCACATACTTAAAAGCGCGGACGGAAAAATTTGTGATCACGAACAACAGTGCAAAGAATGGGAGAGATACATCACTGACCTTTTTGACGATGCTTCTAGGGAAAATGCTCCAAATACTGCCTATGACAACCAGTTGGACAGAGGTCCCAATATACTGAATTCGGAAGTCGAAAAGGCAATACAGCAAGCCAAAAACAATAAAGCACCTGGACCAGATCAAATCCCTGCCGAACTACTTAAACTTTTGGATGAGGAAAGCATTGCCTGCTTAACCACTTTCTTCAACAAAATTTACAACGAAGGAAAAATACCAGATGATTGGTTAGAGTCACTGTTTATAACATTACCAAAGAAAAGCAGGCCCACCAAATGCAGCGATTTTAGACTAATCAGTTTGATGAGTCACACACTGAAGATACTCTTACGAATTATACAAAACCGAGTATTCCTTCTATGCGAAAGTAAGATGGGTGATAAGCAATTTGGATTTAGAAACGGTCTAGGAACTAGAGAGGCACTATTCTGTATGCGCGTTCTATTACAAAAAAGTTGTGAATTCCGAAAGAATGTTTATGTTTGTTTCATCGACTTCGAGAAGGCGTTCGACAGAGTCCAACACAATACACTTTTCGACTGCCTACGGGCAGCAGGACTTGACCACTATGATATAAGACTGCTGAAATACTTATATTACAATCAAGTAGCCTCTATCCAAATTGGAGACAGTCCCACTGAAAAAATACCCATCAAACGTGGAGTACGGCAGGGTTGTGTTTTGTCACCCACTCTTTTTAATCTGTACTCTGAAGAAATCTTTAGGGAGGCTTTGGATGACAGACAAGAGGGAGTAAGACTAGGTGGAGAAGTAATCAACAATATTAGATACGCTGACGATACAGCCATTCTTGCAGAAAGTTTACAAGATCTCCAAACATTACTAAATCTAGTCAGTGAAGCAAGTTATCGGAGAGGCCTAAAAATCAACATTTCAAAGACAAAGTGGATGGCAGTTGGAAAGATCCATATAGATCAAGGTCTGCTTTCTCTTAATGGAGAAGAGATAGAAAGGGTAAATCATTTCAAATACCTTGGCAGCTGGTTAAATGTAAATTGTGACTCTGATGAAGAGATAATATCCAGGATCGAAATATCACGTAAGGCTTTTATGACCTGGAAACCAGTTTTATGCAACAGAAACCTGTCAATGAACATTCGTAAGAAGGTCCTGAAATGTTATGTGTGGTCGATCCTATTGTATGGTTGTGAGACATGGACGTTAAAAACCACAATGCTAAACAAGTTAGAAGCATTCGAAATGTGGTGCTATAGACGAATCCTAAAGATATCGTGGGTTTCGCACACTTCCAATGAAGATGTTCTTCAAATGATCAACTCAGAACGTCTGCTCATAAACACCATAAAGAGGAGAAAAACAGAATACTTCGGCCATATAATTAGAGGACCCAAATACCATTTACTTCGCCTTATAATACAAGGAAAAGTGGAAGGAAAGAGATGGATTGGTCGAAAGAAACTTTCATGGCTGCGTAATATTAGACAATGGTGTGGTTTCACAGTAGAAGAATTATTTCGCGCAGCAGCCGACAGAGAAAGGTTTCAGGAAATTGTAAACATGATGACGGCCAACGTCTGAATACGGACACGGCACCCAAAGAAGAAGAATTTTTATTTTATACTATTTTTTGACATATGTAAGTACTTTATGTATATTAACATAAATAAATAACTTTAACTTGACTTTATTGTAAGATAGTTCATTTGATTACATGAAATCAACCTTAACTTGAGATCACCTGTCAGAAAATATTATAGCACATGATTTGTCGTTAAAAGATTCCATAATAAATTATTTTTTAAGTTTTTCAGTTTAGGAAAGAGAAATAGGGACATATCTTTTGTCGATCTTGAATTGCATTGAGGACCAGAACAATATCGATTTGATTTAAAATACTTTAACGTAGTCATAATGCTGAAATTTACTAAAAAAATTTAATAATTCTATTCAAATCAACAGCTGTCTGGTTTGTTTATACCACTTTTAGTAGTTTAAATTTATTCCGCCAGAGGTCAGATGCGAATATTTCGTTTGTAGTAATTTTACTGATGTCATTTGTGTTTGTGGTGAAGCACTACCTTAAAGAATAATTTTACCTAAATTACTTCTGGTACAGCTTTGATCGAATTTTAAATTCATCCAAATTGTGAAATTTATCTATATATTTTAAATATATAATATTTTTCAGAGGGATAATACAGTTAGAAGTTTTCGAGAGGGACGAATTTGGGTCCTAATATGTACGGAACTTATGGCCCGAGGTGTAGACTTTAAAGGTGTCAATTTAGTTATTAATTATGATTTTCCTCCATCGGCAATATCGTACGTTCATAGAATAGGTCGAGCAGGACGAGCAGGAAGGCGAGGTAAAGCTATTACGTTTTTCACTGTAGAGGACACAGTAAATTTGAGGAGGTATGTATTATATAGTATAATATTATTAATCATTTTTTTATATAGCACAATTTTTATTAAGATTATTAGCTACAGCCAACTCTAGTTCTTAGGCTCTGGAATGCGACTACAGAAGTTATTCTAAAATAATTATGTACCGTATTCTAAAATAACTTCACAGTAAAAAAAAATAAACCACTACTTATAATATACAGAGTGGCCCAAAAGTCTGGAAACGGCTAATTATCTCGTAAAATGCTAATCATAATTGTACAAAATTTGAGGTACACCTATTTTGGGATACGGAGATTCCATATTTGATATTTACAATGTTGCCAGATTTGCCGTTTTTCTTATATTATTAGTAACTTTGGTTTTCAAATACATCACCCTGTATATTCAGTCATTATTGGAATCTCCTATTCAATACGAGTTCAACCATATGTAACACTTATGATTTTATGTAATCTGGAAGGTCATAAATACATAAAACCGAAGTCTGGCAACGCCTAAATTGTTTCAATAAATTTTTTAATACTAACTATTTTCAAATACATTAAAACGTAACAATTGATAGTTTAGAACATTTTTTAACATAGTAGTTACGTTATTAAGTGTTCAAAATGTGCTCAATTTGTGAGTTGACAGCACCCTAATCGATGGTAGAAGGCGTCTACCACATTTCTCCATGATTGTCTAGAAATTATTCGAGATTCATTGATAATCGTGAAACCATACTCAAGACCACAAAAATTAAATGTATGGTCAGTTATAGTAGTACTTATTTAATTGGCCATTTTTTATCGAAAGAAATTTAACGTCAGATAGTTGGTGTAAATGTTCGGCGTTATTTAGATGAGATATTTCCCGGACGATAAATTGGTAGACAAGGTAGAATTGAATGGCCTCCACGTTCACCCGATCTCAATCCTAAAGATTATTTTTATTAGAGATACTTGAAAAATTCAGTTTACAAAACTTAACCAGCAAGTCTTGCATAGCTAAGGCAATGAATTATCGATGAATCTCGAATAATTTCTAGACAATCATGGAGAAATGTGGTAGACGCATTCTACCATCGATTAGAGTGCTGTCAACTCACAAATGGAGCACATTTTGAACACTTAATAACGTAACTATTATGTTAAAAAATATTCTAAACTATCAATTGTTACGTTTTAATGTATTTGAAAATAGTTAGTATTAAAAAATGTATTGAAACAATTTAGGCGTTGCCAGACTTCTGTTTTATGTATTTAAGACCTTCCAGACTACATAAAATCATAAGTGTTACATATGGTTGAACTCGTATTTAATAGGAGATTCCAATAATGACTGAATATACAGGGTGATGCATTTGAAAAACCAAAGTTACTAGTAATATAAGAGAAACTGAAAATCTGGCAACATTGCAAATACCAAATATGGAATCTCCGTATCCCAAAATAGGCGTATCTCAAATTTTGTATAATTATGTCTATTCTTTGTTTCACGTTAAGAAAATAACATTACGCTTATGGAGATCAGTGTTGCCAAAACTCTCAGACACTCTCTTTTGCACGGATGTCCAAGATATTCCCTTTGCTTAATTTTTGAATTTTCATTTTCAATTAATATTTAACTGTAAAGTCAGAATAACTACTAAATAAAAGCCTTATTATCATTATGTAGTCAGAGACGACATAAAATAGCTGACATACGCACATCGTATTATTTTAAGTTGCAATTAGTAATTAGATATACGCATTCCAAGCGGTCAATATTTTCTACTGATTTATATGATTCATGGCATATCGTATTCTCACCGAAAAACAAATAAACTGTCGTTACTATAATTAAAATAAGATAAAATAAAATTATCTTTTGTAAATACTATTTATCTAATTAAAATCATTTTCCCTACTTTTCATCTCTTGTTTCGAATGGGCACTTTTGGTCAATTACGTTAAAAAACATTCATTTAATTCATGTTTGTGGAAACGAAAATACAAATTATACAACCCTAAATTGTGCTTGTGTGTGTCGTGGCAACGCCGCGTTGCTATCGTCCATAAGAAATACATGGCCCTATCTTCGCAATGTTATTTTCTAAACGTGAAACGTAGTATAGTAATTTATGAGATAATTAGCCGTTTCCAGACTTTTGGGCCACTCTGTATACCTGTATCTATATTCACGTTTATACTGTTTTTTCTTTTGTATTTAATTTTTATTGCAAGATATCCCGATACTCTTTACCTTAGATTGTTACCATTTAGCTTCGTTAACCTTTTCGTTTTGTTGTAAATGCTCTAAATGTTGTTGGCATTCCTTATCTCATGTGGCTGTAGTTTCGTAAGTGGATATGATAGTTGTTACTTACTTTCTTTTTGAACTAGTTTGACTAGAGCGACCCCCGTTGTTAAGGAGTTCTGCAAAACCCGCTGCTTTATATAGATTTGAGAGTGGCGTTAGTTTCATGCACCCCGTTACTATCCTGCATGTCTTATTTAGCGTAGTATCAACTTGTTTTTGCGAATAATAATTGCAAACAGGTGTTATTATGGTCTATCAAAGTACTTAGCTAACAAACGTCTGTCTCAAAAAACTCGTATAAGGCTGTATAGAACACTGATAGTCCCCGTTCTTACATACGGATCAGAGGCATGGACGCTAACGAAAACAGATGAATCCGCTCTATCCATGTTTGAAAGAAAGGTGCTACGCAATATATTTGGAGCGGTCTGTGAGAACGGAATATGGAGGCGTAGATATAACTTCGAACTGCAGAATATCTACAAGCATACGTTTGGTGGTAAAGATATTACCACTATAATTAAGCGAAACCGCCTGCAGTGGGCAGGACATGTAGCCCGGGCCCCTGAATCGAACATGATAAAAAAGATTCTAACAGCGCAACCTGTGGGAATGAGACGACGGGGTAGACCAAAGCTGAGGTGGATGGATGGGGTAACACAAGATGCGGAGAAGATCGGATTCGGCAACTGGAAAATTCAAGCAAGGGACAGAACAGAATGGCGTAGAAAGCTTGAGAAGGTCGAGGCCCTCTAAGGGCTGTAGCACCAAGATGATGATGATGATGATGATCAACTTGTTTGGTATGGGCAGATCTGCCCTAAACGGGACACGCATATGCAGCAGTTGAAACGACAGTACCTGTGCCGTTGTTCTTAAAACGCCAGGACGTGCACCCCATTTACTTCCCGTTAGCTTTCTGAGTATGCTGTTCCTAGTTGTTACTTTCCTCTGTTTTATGCAATGTTGTCTGTAGGTGAGGGACCGGTCCAGAGTTACTCCAAGATATATAGGTTGGTTTGTGCGTTCTAATGTATTACATTCCACACAATTTGGAGTTTTCGCTTGGCTTCCTTTGCGCGAAGGTGGAAAGCGCAGACTTGGGTTTTAGAGGGATTGGGTCTCAGGGAATTCTGCAGGTAGTACGCTGTCATTGTTTTTAAGGCAGTTTCGAGTTTCTCCTCCACTTCTTCAAAACTATTTCCTTGAGCACATATTGTAAGATCGTCAGAATTCGGGCGGCGTAGGTTGGTCGTCTGTGGAAGGTTGTTTTTTTGAACCCTCCACCTATTTACTTGACCCTCCATCATAACGAAAAAACGTCTGTTTTGCAGTAAGGAATACACGACGTTACCCAGATGGTGGTCATTGAGAGTGTCGTATAATTTGCGGAGCAATGTTTTGTGCCTTACTGTGTCATAGGCTGCTGTCAAATCTACGAAAGCAACCCTGTTATAAGTTTTTCTTCAAAGCCCTCTTCAATGTGTTCTGTTAGTGCGAGGACTTGACCGGTGCTGGGTCTGAATCCTCCTTGTTGTGGGATGAGGTGCTTGTCGACATTTTTTTCTATTCTGGCGAGTATGAGTCTCTCGTATAGTTTGAAAAAGTGACACAACAGCGAAATAGGTCTGTAGCTACTGGGATTTTCTGGGTCCTTTCCTGGTTTTAACAAGGCTATTACTTTAGATTTCCTCCATGATTTTGGAATTTCGCAGGCTTTGCAGCACGTGTTATAAAGTTGCAAGATCCAGTTTTTTGCTCCTTGGCCTAGATGCTTTATTTGTTCACTGCATATATCATCCACACCTGCAGCTTTCCCGTTTTTTAACCTATTCATACCGTCGTGGAGTTCTTTTAGTGTAAAAGGAGTTCCTAGGTGGTTTGTCTCCGAATCCAATCTTCTTCTAGTGTTTGGGTCCTTATATCGATTCGTAGTTCTTCCATTCATAAGAAGTTGAGCAGCGACTTGGTTTGCTGTAACCTTGCAAGGTGGTTTATGTTCTTTTGGATCACCGCTAAGTTTTTTTACAAGGTTCTATGCTATTTTGCTACTATGTGTCATGTCCATTTTTTCCAGGGTCTCAATCCACTTTTCCTGTCTGGCTTGACTTAGCTGTTGGAGTAGTACTGCTCCGCAGTTTCTTGGCTAAAAGGGTCAGTGGAATAGCGGGTTTCGTATGTTGTCATTAGTTTTTTGGACTCGTTGACATCCCGGGAACATATTGTTGTCTACATCCTCTGGGTATAGCTTTTCTAGACACAGTTTTGAGTATCTGAGATATTTGTTACAAATTGCATCTGTACTGCACATATAGATGATCCTTTCCCAACTTTCTCCTATTATAACTTAGCTGCTCTGTATTGATGACGACCAACAAGTCAGAAATACGCATTTACGTCTGTTTAAGACTGGAACAAAGTTGCAATTATAATAATAAATATATTATTTATTTTAGCATTGCACACATTTTAAAAGAATCCGGTTGTGAGGTTCCACCTTATATGTTAACGATGAAAAAAATATCAAGAACAAAACGAAAACAACTTGAAGTTAGTGCTCCAAAAAGAGATGAAATTATTACCAAACCATTATATGACAGACTAACGGGAGGCAAGAGGTATGTATTCGTAAAAGAATAAATGTTAACAAGTTGATAACATTTTTCGTTGTAGTTTTATAAGGGTTATTGGATTTTGCAAAATTTCTTAAATTGGAGAATTTGTTTTCTGGTAAATTTGAATGAAATGTAATTAAATTATTTTCACCAAAATTATTTTTGTTGTAAAACTCTAGTTGTAAAATTTTTGGTGCTTTTATAATCTCAAATTTTAAAGGATTTTCAAATATTAATGAGTCCAATTCTTTTGCATAACAATCTTGAAACCACCATCATCATCACGTAGCGCTACAACCCTGGGTGGGTCTTGGCTGACTGTACAACTTTTTTCCAATTTGTTCGGTCTCCTATCAACCTGAGGTCAAATGGAATGTTCATTTTCCGGAGATCTGCTTGGATGATATCTCTCCATCGCATTCTGGGACGTCCGAGTGGTCCTTTGCCTGTGGGAATCTCCTCCCATACCAGTTTTACAAGTCTCTCGTTATGCAGTCTGTGCACGTGGCCTGCCCATCTTAGTCGCTGTGATTTAATTTCTTGGACAATATCGGCGTCATTGTAGAGTGCTTTTAATTCGATATTGGTTCTGATCTTATACTTGTTTGTGATGATGCCATAGTGAGGTCCGAAAATTTTTCTAAGTATTTTTCGTTCAAAGTGTTGCGTTCTGCACATACGATGACCTCAATATAACAATTGAGGTCATCCTGAAGGGGGAGAGATATTCTGTTCAATCTAGAACTCGCTGGTTTCCCCCTTTCGAAATGGGTATGTATATTCAAATAAAAGAAGAGAAATGAAAGGCAGCGGACTGTATAAAACTCTATTTTAAAAAGCTGTAAAATTAAACATAAATATACATAACCAAATATACCATTATAATTAAAGAAGAATATACAAACTTAAAATTACGCAATACGAAACGACATACCAAAAGACAACCATAAACCAACCAAAACAAAAATGTCGATTCTATAAAAAACCACTGACAAAACAAAAGACAAAACCTACCATAGCCGCAAACATACTATACATAAAAAGATAAAAGCCAAATTAATAATCTTACCAAAAAAATCAACCTAAATAAGGATATAATATTTTAACGTTGTAAAAACAAATTAAGAATGCGGTGCATACAAATAATTAATAAGTACAATTATTAAAACAAAACATACAAGAAATAAAATCGGTGTTAACAAAATACAAAAATAAGAATATAGTAAATAAACCGAAACAAATGCAAAATGTCCAATTGACAATGTTCAATCGCAATCGCGGCACAAATGCGATGAAGTTCCAAACAAATATCAAATAAATATACCAAGTGCACGTACTTGATATATGCAGCAACAAATTAATATGGTGTATTGTTCCTTACCCCATGAAAAAGATAGCCCCAACGCTATCGCAAAATTATGTCTTCAGCGACACTTTAACTACCCAAGTTTGTGATGCACATTAGCGTCTTTCTTGGCCGATGCGGAATCAGGTACTCTTCGTCTTCACATACACATGTTCATCGTTTGAGAGATACTGTTCGACTCTGGTTGTGTATGGAATGCAAACCCTTATTTTAGGTACACACACATGTGGTGATATTTCGCAGATGGCCCGCCTTGCAATCTTTAGCCCTTAAAACGGCTGTGTCACTTACACGCAAATCTGGTTTAAAATATACGAGGAGAATAGAAACTATTAAAAAGTCTGTTAATACATTTACAAATGTTTATATACAGTTGCGAAAATGCAACACAAAGCGTTTGAGCTTTTCTTTGTTTGCTTTGGTCGTGGTCCACGTTTCGCATCCGTATGTTATTACAGGTCTGACGATGGATTTATAGATTTTGATCTTTAAACTAACTGTGAGATTTTTAGATTTTATGAGCTTATCCAGTGCAAATAGACAGCGGTTTGCAGATTGGATTCTGTCTTTTATTTCTTCAGTAACATCGTTGTCAGCTGTGATTACGGCCTCCAGATACTTTAAACGTTGTACTCTTTCGAAATTGAAGGTTGACCGTCACATTTTGTCCTATCTGTCTTTCGTGTCGTTCTATTTATACACATATATTTCGTCTTCTCTTCATTAATCTTCAGCCCTACTTGATTTGTTGCTCCTTCCCATGTTCAGAAGTTCTGCTGGTATCTCGTCCGTACCCGGCGCTTTGTGATTTTTCTTCTTATTTAAGGCCTTTTGGGTTTCTTCAAAGGAGGGATTTTTGACGGGCATGTCCGCTGTTCAATCTTGAAACCTATGACGAAAATTTTCATCCAGTTATTTTATGACTGATTGTCGTTTTAGATTAAGAATTAGGCGCAAAATTTTGGACCAATGCTTTTTAAATGCATTAATTTTTTTCGAATCCTGAGAAAACCATTTTTGAAAAATTTAAACGCAGAATGTAAGACTACATTATTACCGAGGCCGAAAGTTCCCGAAAATTTCTATGTTTGTTTTAGTAAGTTGCAGGGTTGAAAAAAAAAAGAGAAAATTTAGTGTGATTTTTAATTTCAAATATCTCATTCAAAAGAAAATTTTCGTTTATTCTAAGGGACTTTCGGCCCTCGGTAATAATGTAGTCTTTCATTCTGCGTTTAAATTTTTCAAAAATATTTATTGCAACGAAACTATTTTTCCTACCACATGGGATTATGGGGGTAGAGAGAGGCAAGCAAAATAATCGCTACTTGTGCGAACGGCACTCAGGGTTTGGTAGGAGAGCTGGGGTCGTGGATAAGTAAAAGATAAGGGGGTTGGATTGGGGCAACTACAAAAAATGAAATAAAGGGGTCATTAATCTCTTGGGATAAACAAAATAAAAATAAACAGGAAACACCTCAAGGAATTTAATATAGGGCGCCACTTGAGGTGCCTAATTATACCTATTACAACCACTAGTTGTAACTAGGGAAATAATTATAAAACATCAAAAAAATATCTTTTTCAAATAAAACTCAAAAAAGGGTTAGTTCAAAAAAAATAAATAAAATGTTAAGAAAACAAAATTTAACATTTATTTTTGTGTCACCACAAACAGTTACAACATGAAGAAATACAAGAATACAAAAAACTTACGTGTGTCATCCGCTTACAAACTCCAGGAGTTGGAGATACTACATAAAACTTACAAATGTTACCGCATTACAATTTTTAAATGTTACAATTTCTAAATTTTAACGAAAGCAATTATTGTTCTAAAAAAATATCTGTCTTTACTTTGAAATTAAACAAACAATAAACAGTTACCTGGATTCACATATTTCCACTTAACGAAAAAAAAAAACTTGTTACATCTCTGGAGTATCTATCCGGACATCATCAGCGAAGAGCTTTATCCATTGGGGCTGGAACTAGTACACTTGGAAAAACGGGAACTCTCAAAAAAAACAGGAACTAAACTTGTTCAACTTTTCAACAGGAACTAGACTTTTCAAACATCTTAAAATCTTCAAAAAAACGAAACAGTGGTCACTCTTTCTAAAATGACATTTACATCGAGCGAAAACTCCACCAATTTTGGCAAATTAATGCCGGTCACTTCATAATAGATAAAAATCCACCACTACTGCTACTTATTTCCACAAAAGGAGCCAAAAACAGAAAACCACAAATTCGACGACGAATTCGGATCCATACCTGAGCCTAACGAACTGCTCGGGGACCCAAGCATGAATTAAGATCCATACCTAACACTACGACGACCCAAGTATGAATGACGAATTTAAAAATTCGTTCGTATAACTTGAAAATAAACAAAACGCTGAAATAGCAAAACACAACGAAACGACGTAGATATCCTTTTGCGACGTATAAAAATTATAAGACGACTTCGAATAAAACATTAAAAGAAATTGCCGAAAAAGTTAAAATAATAAACAACTCTAAAATGGTTTATTTTAACATCTAGCAATGCAAATACAATTATTGAAAACACTTTTGCGTATTTTAACTTGAAAGATACGAACTAACAAACACGGAAAAAATTCTTCGTTTTATTTTTTAAACATATATAAGGCGATTTCAATATATTTCATATACGAGGGGATCTCAATATAAAATGCTACATTATTAGTTTTCTCAGGATTCGAAAAAAATGAATGCATTTAAAAATTGGCAACGATGTCGTCGCTTTATCGCATTCGCATTTCTAAGATTCTACTGCCTAAAAATTTGATTCTCAACTGAGTAGGAAGTTAAGAATTGTACATAAGTTAGGTTAGAACAAAATTTCTTTTGGGTCTTATTGATCATATTGTAATTATAGAAAAACACTATGGAGTATTTTCATCCTAGAAAAGGTTACTTGTGTAATTAATAAAAAAAACAGCACGTAGAAATGAAAATTCGCGAAAAAAGTTGTAAAAATAACGTTTTAGAATTTTTTTATGATAAATAGGAAAAGTCCCTGAAAATTTGGTACATAAAATTGCAATCTAAATATACAGCAGCGCACACTTTGTTATTGAACTCTATTTTAGCAGCGAACACGAAATTTTAACATATATGCGTATTCACCCATCCAAAAAAAACATGAAATATTTCATTTGAAAGGATTACTCGAAATATTATGAGAGTCATTTTAATTTTGATAGTAGGTTCATATGTATATCCAAAAACATAAGATATTTAATTTTCATGTCTAGAGGTAACATTTTACGGTAAACTTTTGGCCACGTTTTCTATCCATCCGCCCACTCCGTTTCGTCTAAAAGAAAGTTTGGCTCCGTTTGACTCACTAATATCATTAAACGTCAAATTATTTATTCGAATTTTATTTTAGGTTAAGATTAGTTGAATTATGTACGGTTTGAGATGCATTCTCGGTTTGTGATATAAATAGGAGAGAAATGTTTTGAAAATTGTTATATTAAAGGCACCAAAAAGAATACTTTGTAGATAGGATCCCTTATAGATAATCTCCTTATCGAATTACTTGAAAAGAATAATTTAAGCATGAGAGACATCAGGATCATTATCGCTGTCTATTATAGTTAGCTGTGGTAAAGGAAATAACGTTTTTTTTTAGAAGATTTACAGATTGAAAGGGATGTCAGGGAGGGCTGTGTACTGTCTGTCATGTGATGGCACATGAAGAAGAAGAGATACGATCTCTTCGTATGTTTTGTATTTATAAGATTATCATTGTCTTTCCATTCTAGCTATTATTATTCGGAAGAACAACTTTTAAAGATGGTTCAGAATAATAATTGGTCTGTAGTTTTCCAAATTAGATTATCACCCCTTTTACATAAAAAAATGATTTTAGTTCTATTCTGTTAGAATGTCTGCGATATTGAGTCTAATTTCAAAATTGTTTTTTTTTTCATTTAATTTTTGACCTCACTTTTTATAAGATTCTAATACCATTCGCTACTCTTTGGAGATTCGCTTGTTTTTCATTTTATTTAACTCATTCCTTATGCGTGATTTTTATAGTGATATATGTGCGTGATCTTCTTTCTGATCCTTGATTCGATACCCTCTGTTTTGGCTGTTATTGGAGGTGGTGTACTATTTTTTGTTGGTTAGAATTGCTAGTATTATACTAATATCTTTTCTTATCAATTTTGTCACATTTCTTTTCATTTTTATCAAAGCTTCTTTGCTTGTGTTTATATCTCCTTTCATCTGCCTCCTTTCTTCTATAAGGGGTTTCATATCTTAGCTTATTTTGTCATTTCCTATATTTGTGGGGTGATTCCTTGTGTTTGTGGGGTATTGCTCATGTTTCTGGAGTAATTCGTTGTGATTGTGAAGGAATCCCTTATATTTGTAGACTTATTAATCCCTTGTATCCGTGGGACAATTATTTGTATTTGTATGATTGTTTAAGAGAGAAAGGGAATCCTTTCGACTTTTTAGTAGTAGTAATCTTTGAAGGGCAATTTGTGTTAATACCTATTATTTTTTGTACTTAATATTGAAATGTTATATTTTGTATATTTTGTTTTCAGGAAGAAACTTAGAGAAATAAACAGCAAATTAAAAGAAAAGTTACAGTTACAAAAGAAGAAGAAGAAGCCGAAGAAGAAGCAAACAATTAAATCAAATAACAACAAGGACAATATAAGTTAAAAATGTTAAAATTTTTATTCATTTTTATTACAAAAAAAAAATAAAATTGAGCTCAAATAATCAGTTTCTGAATTATTTGTCGACCTCATTACCTATCCCTCATCCTTATTCTTTTTTTTTACATAGTTGCAGCATAATTTAACACGTTTGCTGCCTTCTCTGTCAAGTAATTGTTCCCAGTAGCCAAACACTTTTAAATTGCTGCCCAAAGAGCGGGCGGTATTGTAATCACTATTGATTTCATTACTGCTCAAGGTTAAACAAAAGTATCTGCTTCTTTGGGTGCCGTGTCCATATTCAGACGTTGGCCGTCATCATGTTTACAATTTCCTGAAACCTTTCTCTGTCGGCTGCTGCGCGAAATAATTCTTCTACTGTGGAACCACACCATTGTCTAATATTACGCAGCCATGAAAGTTTCTTTCGACCAATCCATCTCTTTCCTTCCACTTTTCCTTGTATTATAAGGCGAAGTAAATGGTATTTAGGTCCTCTAATTATATGGCCGAAGTATTCTGTTTTTCTCCTCTTTATGGTGTTTATGAGCAGACGTTCTGAATTGATCATTTGAAGAACATCTTCATTGGAAGTGTGCGAAACCCACGATATCTTTAGGATTCGTCTATAGCACCACAATTCGAATGCTTCTAACTTGTTTAGCATTGTGGTTTTTAACGTCCATGTCTCACAACCATACAATAGGATCGACCACACATAACATTTCAGGACCTTCTTACGAATATTCATTGACAGGTTTCTGTTGCATAAAACTGGTTTCCAGGTCATAAAAGCCTTACGTGATATTTCGATCCTGGATATTATCTCTTCATCAGAGTCACAATTTACATTTAACCAGCTGCCAAGGTATTTGAAATGATTTACCCTTTCTATCTCTTCTCCATTAAGAGAAAGCAGACCTTGATCTATATGGATCTTTCCAACTGCCATCCACTTTGTCTTTGAAATGTTGATTTTTAGGCCTCTCCGATAACTTGCTTCACTGACTAGATTTAGTAATGTTTGGAGATCTTGTAAACTTTCTGCAAGAATGGCTGTATCGTCAGCGTATCTAAACAAAAGTATAATAGTAGTTTTTTAAAAAATGATAATGCTCAAAACATAAAAATACCAATGAAAAAATTGCTGATTGACAACAAATCGTGCTTTTCCTCGAAACTTTGTGATCTGCCTATAGGAGCATTATTTGCATTGGTAAATTGGTTGTTTTTTGGTTAATTTCCATTTTAAGTACATTGACGTATATTTGACTACTTTTCCCTTTTGTTCTTATAAGAAAGCTCCCAAAGATAAAAGTATTATTTAAAAATGATTAAAGAATCTACCAAGAATTAGAATCTAAAAGAGAAACATGCCCACCGATTCCAGTTTCAGAAGGAATGCTACTGGTCTTGACAAGACAGCTACAGAATTGTTATAATTACTAGATAAAGGTCGATTCAAACACATCAGTCACGTCTCGTCACAGTGCCGGTGCCGAACCCAACAATCCGTCATATAAACATGATACTATAACAAAACAAGATAAGTCAACGCGCATGTTCTTGTGACGTAAGCCCGAGACAACTTGCCAAAATGCCAAATTGTCAAAATTAATGACAGCAAGTTAAACTTTAAAATTAAATTTAAATTTTTCATTTGATGCAATTCTAGTTATATAAATAAAAAGAATTAATATTAATAACAGCAGAGAATTAATATATTAATATTAATAACAGCAGAGCAAATGTTTCTATGGATAATAATAAATGTTTCTATAGATAATAATATATACTAATGCCCATTTTAATAGAACTTGAAGTAATACTTTATTTTTGATAGGTCTTTAAAAAAAGTTACTTTGGATGTATGTAGTATGTAGTGAACTGGAACATATTTTTCGTAGTTATAATGGCGACACATTAAAAATAACAAAAAATTATTTAAAAAACTTAATAGAAGCTGCAAAATATGTAAATGTTAGCGAAGATGTAAAATTACTTTTTTTTAGATGTAAAATGTATTTTAAAATACGAATTCTAAATCAAAATATTAAAGATAATTACAATACCGCAAAAGAAAAATCACAAAGATTGTAAAATAAATGTCTAAATGATATTCATAAAGTCTCAAGTTTGACCCGCTTTTCCTTTATGGTCAAATTCTTTACATTTTGCCGGCCTTTTATATTTAATTTATGTTTTGTAGCAATATTTATTTTGTTTGTAATACACACAATCAAATCGTAGATTCATATATTTCTTTAATTAATTTTACAAATTACTTATTAATTTTCAAAACACGTTTTCACAGAAAGTAACTAGTTATGACTTCTTAGTGCAAGATATGGCATCGAGGTATACTTACCGTTAACAGTTTAAGTTTTGAACATCGAGCAAAAAGACAAAAGAGGGAATGTAAAGGTAGTGGGGGCAAACATATTGTTAGACAGGAAGTGCGATCTTTAGAGGCCACATTAAACAAGGAAAGAGAGTCTCTCTCCTTGTTTGACATCAAATTTAGTTGGGTTATGTTATTGTTTGTCCCAATGTCACATGAAATCTTATTTATTGAAGTTTTTTAACAATTGTGTCGCATTTTAGACTCTTATCATTAATAATTAATTAAAACTTTCTCGTCTAAGACACATTCTGAAAAATATTATATAGCTACTGTTGATAAGTGTCGGAAAATTTAAATTTGGCGCATTCGCATTTCCGGATATGTCCGCCATCAGAGGCCACTTTTTTGGTCTCCTTTTCATAAAGATTAGATTCCCTCTTTTGTCTTATTGCTCGATGGTTTTGAAGTTGTTCATTGCACTAATGGAACAACGTTGCCATATGATGCATCGTTAAAATATGATACATACAAGTCCCCTGTCTTTATCTCGCTATGACGACATGCGCAAAGTCAATTCAAATTAGAACAGCAAGTGAGCACATCTTGTTGTTATAGTATCATGTCATACAAAATATTCTTTAATAGAAATATGCCGCCGGCATTCACATTCATCAGTTGACGAACAGTTTCCCAGCAGTCAGGTTTCGACACGTCTATCGCCCGGCCGATTTTATAATCTCAGCGACGAATTTTTTGGTTTTGCCGGGAACATGACGGGCGGTACAAGTGAACAAAATAAAATTATTGACGAACAATTAATAGAATGTTTAAGAAAATAGTTTATATGATTTGTCGCATGCAAAATACATGGACATTAATTTTAAAAATAATATTTGACAGAAAGCAATTTTTCGACATCCTAAAATATTGATGAAATTTTACATCATCAGAAGCAGTTCTTTATACAGTGTCACGTATTCTCCTTCGGTATCCATTTTTTTCCATGCGTCATGGATCCATTTCCGTCTTTTTGCTTGGTTTGCTTGCGCTTTCTTCTTCCTCGTCCAAACATATAGCAATTATTGCTAATTCTTCATCCGAGAAACTTTCCATCTTTTCAACAGAGTGGTCGGTAACAGTTGTTAATTACCAGATAACTGAAAAAAATATTTGTTGAATTCTGGACAACAAAAGTAAAGATTTAATATATTAGAAAAGTTCAAGTTAAGTTACCGTCAGAAGCTAAAAATTTCGTATTATTAACTAATAAATCCTAAATGGAAATAAAGGGCCAAAATTTATTGAAAAAAAAAACAAACAAATTTAATCTCAACGGTGCAACGCCACTTTATCAAAAAGGAAATGAATCAAAACAACCGTATCACAATGATTATTATGCATGCAAGTTATTTGCGTGTGCCAATATAGAATACAATTTTAATTGAGTTAATACTAAATGTAAACACTTTAAAAATATTATTAAATTGTTTGATACTAATATATAGGATGAACCATCAATAATGGGTCCAATTGTAATTGTGTGCTTAGAAGTCTCACCGTTTTATCTATCACAAAACAGTAAAATAGCTAATAAAGCGTTACCATATCTAGTACGTTAAAAATAATATATTCGATTTATTTGTTGTTCATATTACAAAATAAATGAATATAATTAAAAAATACCTGAGAATATCTAGGACAGGAAGATCAAAGAGACCTGATGTGAGGAACCTAGGCAGATACGTCTGTAAAGAGGATATGGATACTGGTATCAAACAAGATGGAAGCTTCTAGATAGATGTAATTATGGAGATCTACTTCACACCTTTTACTTCTTTACCCCTACGAAGAGTCAAGGAGCAGAATGCCCAAACATGCAGTTGGCCTCTTCTACTGAAATACGATTTTACGTTTATGAACGTTGGGCCGTGAACTGACGAAAGCAGGTTAAACGGTCCTTAGAAAAAGGAGTTCGGCATTGTGTTAACTAACCAACCCTGTAAAAATCCCATGTTATGAAAACTACACAGAAAGAAACCTGGAGCTATAATAGCTCTACTCATACAAGAAATGCACAAAGCCAAAGCAGATATCATTGCTTTACATCTGGTACTTCTCTGGTTCTTGATTTATTCTTGATTCTTCATACACAGGTTTCAATTTATCGATGGAAATTGTTACTTCTTTTCCGTTTACACGGACGACAATGTTTTGTCTCTTCGTTTAACCGGGTGGTAGTTTTCATCTCTTTGAAAATAAAAGTGCTTTTGGACCCATGTTGCGACGGTTGCTTAGGACGGAGATTTTCGAAATGGTTTCGAAGTGTCTTTAAATAAATGTGAGCACTGTCGTCGGTGTTTCTTTGCGACGAAAACAATAATTCACCGGCAAACACAATGGTTCTCCATAAACGAGTTCGGCGGCTGAAGTACCTAAATCTTCTCTCCACGCTGCTCGTATGCCCAGTAACACTGAAGGTAGGCTTTCGGTCCATCGAATATTTTCATGGCATCGAATTGCTGCTTTTAATTGTCGATGAAATCTTTCCACCATGCCATTTGCTTGAGGGTGATAGGCGGTTGTTCTTAAATGGAGAGTTCCAGTTAATTTGCAGATTGATTTAAAGAGATGTGATTCGAATTGTCGACCTTGATCATTGTGATACGCTTGGGAGTGCCAAAACGAGCTATC